CACCTTCTCGAGCATCCTATCTGACAAGGAAGATTGACGTTCAAGTGCTTCAATGGCTGCCTGTCTGACGGTCCAGTCTTGGTCCTCTAGTCGCATCGCCATCTTCTCGAGTATCTCATCTGACAAGGAGGATTGATGTTGAAGTGCTTTAATGGCCGCCCATCTGATGGCCCAGTCTCGGTCCTCTAGTCGCACCGCCACCTTCTCGAGTATCTCATCTGGCAAGGAGGAATGACGTTCAAGTGCTTCAATGGCCACCCGTCTGATGGCCCAGTCTCGGTGCTCTAGTCGCATCGCCACCTTCTCGAGTATCTTATCTGACAAGGAAGATTGACGTTTAAGTGCTTCAATGGCTGCCGGTCTGACGGTCCAGTCTTGGTCCTCTAGTCGCATCGCCACCTTCTCGAGTATCTCATCTGACAAGGAGGGTTGACGTTCAAGTGCTTGAATGGCTGCCTGTCTGACGGCCGAGTTTCGGTCCTTTAGTAGTGCCACAACCATCCTGAACACGTCCTCGGTAAAGAATCCATAACAGCGCCTCAGTATTCCGCAGACAGCTCTTTTCAAATGTCTAGGCTGGTCTTCTCCTAGCAAAGGGGCAATCGTTGTAACAATGCTTGACTGAATTCTGGGACGTCTTTCTAGTGATTCCAGAACTATCGCCTTATCCTCTTCAGGCCAGTTCAGGAAAACGGAGGTCAGCACATTCGCTGGAAATTCCATCTCGCTTGCTAGGTCTGCTCGTCTTCTGAAATTGCATTCAAAGTGCAGCCACTCAGATAATGTCTTTTCCAACTTCTCCCGAACTAAAGTGAAACGTTTTTGGCTATTCGAACGTCTCACTTCGCTTAAGCAGTGCATGATCAGTCGCTGGTGCGCAGGGCCTAGAAGGTCGGGTGGTTCCTCAAGAGCCTTGAAAAATTCTACGATCTCTGCCTCTTGAGCTTGAAGCAACCCAGTGACAAACCGCCACAGGATATTATACCGTGCAAGGTATTTGTGTTTCTGAAGAAAACTGGTCGGTGAGATTTCCTCAAGACTTCCGTCTTCGAGCCGTAGACATTCAAGTTGTTGTCCAGATTTCCAACGTCGGACGAAATACCGTGCTGCAAAATATTCTTGAAAGGTCAAGTGTAAAAAGTGATAATATCGGTTATGATTCTCTGGTAAAGGGTCTGACGTTCGCAGAAAAGACACATTTTGAAGAATCTTGCTTGGTAAGGAAATCGATTCCAGGAATTCGAAGTACTTGCATATCGTATCCAAAAAGGCTAGATTAAAGTTGATCACATCATTATGCAGTCCAGTAAATGCAAGAATTTCAAGCAGCATAATCTCTTTCTCGGCGAAGCGCTCGATGTTTGATGGTGGAGCTTCCTGGAGAATAGTATTATGCAAGGGAATTCCATCAACAATTTTGCCTAACCGCTCAAGATCTTTCTTCCACAACTTTTGTTCAATTACTTGGTAAACCGCGGTCATGGTTTCTGGTACTCTTCCCAAGTTGCCGGCAGGATCCCAGGTAAGGCAGACCGCATCCAGTTGAATAGGGATCCGAACGAGACCCTGGATAATCCAATGATCTTGGAGGAATGACTGAATTTCCTTAGCTTTATGCGGATCATCAGGAAAGGTTTTTTTGACATAGCTCTTCACCTGTTCTGGATAGAATCCGATAGTCTCTAATTCCAGGTCGGGAGGATCCAGGCGACTCGGAAGAACTCCGTACGGTCGAGATGTGATAATGACGTTGGGCTGATTTAAAAGATAGAGAAGTAACCGGAACACATCCCCATCCTTCTGAAAATCCTGAGATACTTCGTCCAGGCCATCGAGAACAAAAAGGGTTTGGTCGTGTTTCGAGTCGGCGATTGCCTCGTGCAATTTGCGTGCGGCGGATTCCCCATCGGTGTGGTCAAAAAAGAATACATCATTGAACAAATTCTGGACCTTGTATCCCGCAGGCCGTCCTTTCAGCCTCCGTAGGGGTATCCAGAGTAAGCGGCTGAACAAGTCCGCCCACATACCAGCATAGGTAAAGTCATAGACAACCTTTTTGCACAGAGTGGTCTTTCCTACCCCAGCTTGTCCTCGAATCAAGATTCGTCTGGGTTGTTTCTCATGACCGTCGGGTCCTTGATGCGGGTCGAAGATTGTCGACAATGGAACTTCAGTTCCTTCGTTCCGTTCCTTAACATGAAGTCGTGCGAAGAGTGAAAACGGAGAGGACTTATGCGCAGAACCTCCGTCTTCAGAGGAACGCGCGTCCTGAGGGTGTTGCTGCACAATAGCAAGATTAATGTAGCACTGATCCATCGACAGCTCTTTCCCCGAGAGTCGTTCAATCTTGAGATTTGCTGGACTGTAACGTTTCTCGCGAATCCAGGTGTCCATTTCCTTAGTTGATTGCCTCAAAGATCTGTCCATCTCTTCTTTATGCTTCTCGATAATCTGAGCACTCACTACACAAATTTGAGTTATGGTCAGCAGTCAAATACATTTAATGGTGAGAAGTCACTGCAACGGTCGTCACTAACCTTTCCATTCTCCATCGCGAACTCCACTAACCCAAAGGTTCTTCAGGTCGTCCAACAATTGCTGGGTCTCCTTTGCGGCTTTATGGTGAAGTGACATCCCCTTTCTACCTTCTATACACCATTGCCGGAGATTTTCATAGCATTCACACCATAAATCGAAATCTCTGTGTCGGGACGGATAGAGGCGTTGAAGGAGTTTGAAAAATAGCCAGTGGAGGTGGCCTGGTTTAGGAGTCGGATGAACCTTGAGATAAACAGAGAGACCGGTCAAGGATTCTATACCTAAATCACCTCCATCAAGTGTGATAGAAATGATTCCGTCGCCACCATTGTTATGATGACGACGTCGGATGTCGAGGAAAGCGATTTCTGTGAGTACATGATGGAATCCGTTCGCCTTGAGCTGAGCTTTCACAAATTCTCGGATCTCCGTTTCAAACTTCTGCATGTTCTGCTTGTGTGTGTCGTACAACTCCCGAATTTGCGTCATGTAGCCGAGCGCGAATGTATCCTGACAATACTTTCTGAGTACCTGTGACACGCACAGAATCACCTTCTCCACCTTGTCGGAACTTTTATAAGCCGGTAGCAGACGTATCTGGCTGGATAAAATGTCGTGAACGGCAGGATTGGTATCATTTTCAGTCCCCCAGAGGAGAAGCGGGGACCTGTCCGAGACAATCGGGGCTCGTATTTTCTTCAACCACTCGATGATTTCTGTGACGTATTGTGAATTGGCCTCTCCGATATCCGCATTCTCATGTGCGTAGACGACGAAACTGCAGGGATGATCTGTAAGCCCCGAACGTGCGGCAATGCCAATATCTGCAATGCTTTCCAGCAAGTTCTTGAAACAAAAATCGAGAGCATCTGGGATTTCCTCAATTGGTCAGTAGATGAGCGTCTCCGTTGTATAGGAGAGAACCGCGTGGAGGATATAGAATAGGGGCAGTTAAGGGAACCGTGGAGACGCACCATCATCTGCGCTGACGGACTGCGGGTGGATTATCGTCTCCTCCTCTTGAACAGCGGGCTTTCTATGCTTCGACTTGGGTGTAGTGTGATGCAGGCCAGCGGGGGTATTCGGCTGCCTCTCTCCTTCCTGTGCTTCATCTGGGAACCGAATAACTTTTGTGCGCTTCGACTTGGGCATCGGGAGGCTGGGGCATCGTCAGGTTTCGAAAGGTTATTGCATCTGCGGTCGAGGTAATGTTCGAGACTGATGTGCGATAGATGGGTTCGTAAACCTGCGATGACTTCTGCAGAACGGGTCTTAGGAGGTAGGAATCACAGCCGTGGCCCAACGGTCAAGGTAGACGAGAAAGCTGGTCGGCAGGTCAGGCTGAGAAGCCAAGAAAATATCCCGATGAACTGCTTGGGCAGCAATCGGGACGCTTTCCCATTGTTACGCCTTCCCAGTTGGGTCTGGCGCTATCACGTGCACAGCCACCTTCGTGAATTCCTGCCAACGACTCTATAGTTCGTGCGGAACACTGTTTCTCTGGGTAGCACAAAAGACGGCCATCTGATTCCCCCGGTGTTGAACGACTGCATTTCTGTTGTTGTTGTTGAAATGAGTGACTCGTAACCTCGCTATGAATTAGTACATGTTAAATGCGGTATTCCTTGCAGCCTTGTACGTCATCCGTTTGCTGCCCAGTCCAACAATAAACAAACTATGTACAAAAATCTATACAGGCCCGTCCTGGTAGTTGCACGTGACACCCCATTAATGCCCTTTAAGAGGTTTTTGCGAAAGCCAAAGAGTCATCGCCACTTGAAAAATCCCTATGGACACTGGCATCCTCTCTCCAGAGCCCATCGTCAGAAATGGACCGAAACTGCGCCAAGCAGCCACATGCGGGTAAATCGATGCGCTCACATCGGACCAACGACAAAGCGTTGGGAGCAAAGTGAAGCGACTTCATTGACGCTGACCCTTCTCACACATTTTTTCAGATGCATTTCTCGAACAGTCATCAATCACCACCCACCGGAGGAGCTTCGTGGTCCGCGTGAGCTTCGTTGTCCCCACGAATCGCGTTGGTAGTCGTAATCACCGTAGCGGGGTTGGGTTGCTCTTCATCGTACCGAAAATGATGATGCTGTTTGGAGAAACGATTCAGCAGCCAGTTTCCAATCGATACTCGGGAAATGATAACTGCCCACGTGATGTTGAAACCCAAGGAAACGGAACTTCCAAAGATGCCCGTGAGCGCGACGCCATAGATGATTGCGAAGGGTCCCATCAATATTAGGTACCACCACACCCAGAGGCGCACAGGCGTCCAGGAAATGGCATCAACTCGGTGCGGATAGTTTTCATCCAGCGGAGATTGGTCGCTCATGGCCCATCGTTCGAGTACATCCGCGGTTTGCAGCCAGTTTTTGGTCGCAATACTGCGTTTCGCAGGCTCAGGAGGCTCCCGTTGAGCCGTCAATGGCGGGGAAAGTCCTCCTTCTGAGGGCAAGCTTGGATTTTGTGGCATTACAATGCCTTGAGCTGTGCTGTGAGGATCTGATGCTTGCAGAGTGCTTGTCGAAGCCGTAGTGGCAGAGTTCTTTCTCATGTCTGGATCTTTGACTTCCTGCGCCTCCAGGACAGAGGTAGGATGGGATCTATCCGTTGGAGCGTCCGAATTCGACGGACTTGGTTCAGATTGTGGGGGACTGACGGATCCTTGGGTATTCGGGCCTTTCTTGCTTCGCTTCAGGAGACCGCGATAATCTGTCGTACGTGTTAACTGTGGCATTGAAAACATGTTGCACTGTCACATACCTAGGAGGTGCTGCGTCGCGGTCAGCACTGGCAGAAGCAACAGCACGAGTGGGACAATTTGTCCAAAGCCCCACTCGTTGGGATCACCAGCCATCCCGTCCGCGTGCGAACGCACCGAGATGACGTCTGCGGTTCCGTAAGCGTATGATGAAGCCAGCCAAAATAGTCGGAACGTGAAAGAATCACAGCATTCTCCAAACGCCCATGACTCGCAAAAGGAAACAAACATGACTTTGTGAGAACCCTTTCGACGTTCCTCCGCATAATACTGAAGCATACTTCGACGACGAAAACTCTTTGTAGGTCTTGATTGAGCACTGTTCGGTTTCATGGGTCGATTTGGCGCCGTTCGAATTTGAACGGGTAGTAGCCTGACTATTTGTTGAGGGCGCAGGAGGAGTGTCTCGCCTTGGGAGAACGAAGTATCGAATCGCTTCGTAATGGGCATAAAGAACCAGTAAAGGAAAAAGGTAAGCGTCGATCCCGGTCAAAGCGTCCGAGGGCACACGCAGCGCTCGAACACCGCACTTGAAGTAAGCGTGTTGATACCAAGTCGCAGATGCCTGAAAGATCAGGAGCGTCACCAGCGATAAACAAGCGAGCATCATCAACACTATTTTCGCAGTCGTTATCACGATGTTACTTTGACTGTAATCCTTGATTACCGGGAGTGTGGCCAGATGGACTGATGATGCGAGGAGGGCAAGTGATGTGACCATGTTCGCCGAGTAAATGGACAGATCGGAGGATCGTGAGAAGGCGGCTACTAGTATGGCAATTTCAGAGACGAGTATCTGGTCGCTGACAGAGATCATGAAAGATTCGAGGACTTTGATGCGGTCCAGTCGGTGCTCATGGTCTTGAGCAAGACTGCGTCCGTGAATCCGAAGGACTTTCCGCAACGTGAGGTAAACACCTCGCAAGGCGTCTCGGACGTGATCGTCAACATTGTTCGTGAGATTTAGTGGTATCGAGTCCGTGACGAGACCAATTGAGAGGGCAATCAAGGCCGTGAGAGATGTTACCATAAAGGCAATAAGCACCGGCATTGTGACACAAGGCGGCGCGTACCCCCAGGCCAGTGATGTCTGCGTCATAGAGGATCTGGGATGTTTCAATTTGGTGTTGCTGCGATTCGAGCGAGCAGTCGTTGGAGGCCATGGCGAGTGAACTTGGGAGAGTAATTCAAGAGCCGTCGAGGCAAACTGTGTCTTCATTATAAGCGCAATGCGCGGTGCTTGTCACGGTCTGGGCCGTCATGACGCTGACGTTCCTTTTTTTGCAGAGGATGGTGCTCCGATATGCGCCAGTCCACTGGATGGTGATGCGCGGTACGGTTACCTCTCGCCCCTGAGGCTGTCGCGGACCATACACTGGTCCACGATCCTCTCTCGCTTCGCCATGGCATCCCATATCCGTCCAAGGGCACTATAGATTGGCCTGTCATGCCATCTTCGATCTGCCTCAAATATCTTCAGCAGACCATCAAAGCCACAAGCTGATGCATACAGGCTGCAAGTCGGGCTGAACGATGCGAGGAGGTTTCCCGCAGTTCAGGGAAGAAATGATGTTTTCCCTGATCGCCAAGCCGATTAGTTACCACTGACAGTGGCTGTAAGTTACGGAATACGAATGGCCAACGACGCGGAGGTCTTGGTTTACGTCACCTCTTCCTCAAGAAAGCTTAAAGCATCAAGTAGCGAATGCAGTAGGGCGAATGAGGGGGCTCCTGTCGAGTGCGGGACCGAGAATCTTCGCTTGCTGACAGCCGGGGCATTTTGGGATTGGCTCATTCTTCGTCAGGGACCGATGGGCGATTTCGGGAACGGCACGGCTCGTTGATGCCCAACCTCACCACAAAGGGGGCGCGCACTACTAACAACGCCACAGCAAACTCCCTCGAAAAGGCGAGAAGGCTAAGTGCGAGGCTCTTCGAACAACAAGAGACAGAGGAGCTGTCGAAACGCGGAGAGAATCTCAGAAATCACGACCGGCACCTGTTGAGGGGTAATGTTATTCTGTACACCACATTTTGTTATTCTGTACACCGCTTTTGATTGGTCCGGATTTTTATTTTTCCGGTTATCTGCGCAGTTCGAAGATACGTGATGTCACAACACCTAAGTCTGCCTATATAGAATGCAGAAATGATGGTTAACGATGGTATCCTCTGCACGGTCGATACCTCGTGCTGACTAAGGTAACAAACCAGCGCCCATAGGCTTGGGTGGGAACCGCCCATAAGCGGGGCAGTTGCCCCCCGGCTTATGGGCGGTTTCCCCCCGGTTCATGGGCGGTTTCCCCCTCCGGCTTATGAGCGGTCCTCCCAAGCCTATGGGCGCTGGTTTGTTACCTTAGTCAGCACGAGGTATCGACCGTGCAGGGGATCTCTACACAAATCCGGCTGTGTAGGCCACAATAATTTACAAAGTATACAGAGAAGCTCAAAATGCACGGTACTTATCTACCAAGGAAAAGGGAATCAAATGTGTTTATTGCTTCGCAACCACCTATAACGGGGAGAGTTTAACGCGTCACCCCTCCACAGCTACGCCACTTACTAGTGTTTTCTCGCCATCGCCGGGCCAACGGCAACAAGCTCTGTTAGCGCGGTGTACAGAATAACAGGATGAGAGCGTTAAGTGTACAGAATAAGGCGAGAGAGAGGTGGTGGTGTACAGAATAAGGAGAGTTGAGGCATGGTGTACAGAATAAGCAGGTTTTCCGGTGTACAGAATAACAAAAGTTGGTGTACAGAATAATACCCCCCCCTGTTGAGCTCGGTTGGTCACGTGTTGAACAAAGGGCTATTGTGTATAGGCCCCACCGCTGAAAGACTGGCAAGAGGTTTCCATAGACGACGACGTTACTGATGGTTGCTCTGCGTAACGACGTAGTATTCGCATGTCTATAAAAGAAGCCTGAATACCTCGACAAGTAGATAGAGAACAGAGCATTCAATACATTTCAAGTTGTTCCCCAGTTCGACAAGTCCCTACAGAGCACTGCAGGCCTTTTTTTAATGATCGAGGTTTCTCCGTCCAAAAGTCGATCCAGAGCCGGAGAGAATAGGCAGGGATGGAGGAAAGAATGCAAAGCCACTCAAGGAAGCAATGATGGTGCCGCCAGCTTTCTTGTATGGAAGAAATGCACGGGTAAGCACATAGCTGCCTTTGACGTTAATCTGCTTCGTTCAGCATTGGTATCTCAAGCGACATGTAGACCATACCTCAAAGGTCTTCCTCCATTCGTCAGCGTCGCTATTGTCAATGGGAGCAAGGTTCGGGATATAGCCTGCACTGGCAATAATGACATCCCAAGATCCAATCTTTTGGGCAGCTTTGTCAACTGCAGGTGTATCTACGATATCGGGAACATGGGCTATAACTTTCACGTCAGGGTATTTCGTCTCAATGGCCCCTTTGTCTCCTCAAGAGTCCTCTGTGTGTGACCAAGAATGTGGATAATGTGGCTCCGGCCTGAGCAAACGCATCGATAACTTCTCTGCCGATACCGTGACCGGTACCTGTGATCACGATGGTCCTGCTAGCTTGGGACATCTCGGGCCGTGTTGGATTGATAGCGTCGTAAGTGTTATTATGCCATTCAGCGACCGGAGCTGGGAATGGTGGCTGCATTGTCAACGTGTAGATGTTGGGGGCGTTGAGGAACAGAAGTACAATTGGCCAACTGCGTGAAGTTGAAAAGTGTTGTCCTTGAATATCTTTAACAGAATTGTCGCATGCTGTTGGTGCTGATACTTTATATCCCAGATATCCGATGATAGAGTTCCTAGCATACTGTTTCCAAGGATCCAAAGGTAGTCGGTGAAGGTTCCTCCGAAGCTATTACAAAAGTCCTAATTAGTCACGTTGATTTCATAAGGCCATCGGGGAACGTGATAGAAGCTGATAAAAGCACGACATAATGTGGGCACGGGGTATTGCGGCTGCTTACTTGTCGATGTTCACCGAAGTAGATTTGACAAGCGGTGGGCCGTTGCTAGGCCAGTGTAGGTGAATACGACGGAACGTCTTTAGGACCAGACGTGCCGTCTGTATTTCGTCTATGACTGCCCTAAACGGAAAATAGTCTCTTTGGCCCAATGCGTGAAGGATTCGAAAAGTGAGGGGGAGTCAATCGCCAATGACTGTATCTGCGGCCTGCCTTGCTTGGTTTCACCGCTGCTGTCCCCTCATGCTGCTGACCAAGAGACCATGCTTTGGGACGTGTAATAGGCAAATTCCTCGACAGATTGTGAATACTTTAGGCGATACTGTAGCGTTCAAACATAGGCCAGACGCTACAGACACTTGTGCAAAGATCCGTATTCGAGGCCGACAGGCGTGGCGTTCAAATGCCTGATGAAGCAGTCAACGAGCTGCCAGTATCGACAAGCAGTGGCGGCGCCGTCCGTCGTGCAGAGAATATATGCTTCATACCGGAAGTCGAGGATTGACCGGAAAAATTATCCACGCCCGTTGTCGCACCCTTCGGTCCTTTGTCAACGGATTCAGCGTTCCCAGTACGCCCCGTGACCTTGAAGTAGGATAAGAGACATTGTAATTCATGCCCTATCAAACACTGCCAAGCAGCTCGAACTGCTGGACAGGATTCCAAGCATTGGAAGCGATATCCAAGCTCTTGTGGCCAAGCTGTCCACCCTTCAGGTATGCAAAGACGTGAACACTTTGGCCATCAAAGACCGCCTTCGGCGGACCCGAAAGGCTGTCGCCCAATGTATGGAACCCGCTGCTAGGCGTCCAGGAATTTGTCCGGGCGTCGTAACTCTTGTAGAGTAACGCATTGTCCGCTCCCCAAACAAACACATGGAGAGTGTTTGAGTCAGAACTGACTGCCTCTGGCTCGGCTTGCATCGCCGTTCTGCCACTAAGCGAGGTCCAATTCGACCACTGCTGCGGCGTCGGCACGTCCTGCGAAAAAGACATGTGCCATAATCCAGCGTCCCCGCCGCGGACGAAGATGTCTGTTTTACCCTTTTGCCGGCACACGGCGACGGGCCTGGAGGTGCAAAACCCGCCTAGCTTCTCGAAATCAATTGGTTCCCAGCTTTCCCCGTCGTAGTACTTGTGATACAGGGATTGGTCTTCGCTGCCGACAAGGAAGATATCGTACCGGTCCTCGGCCCAGGACACAACGGTGGGAGCGTACGTTTTGAAGGAGAATTGTGAGGAAAATGTGTAGTATGGTTCCCATCCGCTCGCACTGGTGTACCATTTCTGGGATAGAACGTGGTCGGAATTGATGGTGAAAATGTCCAGTCTGTCAGGTGCCCACGAGACAGCAGTGGGAGGGCTAAGGTGAGAGCCGGCGAGCAGGACCCAGTCTGCGGGCCAGTTTGTCATTGTATTGTGGTATTTCTGCCACAACTGCTGATCTGCGCCTGTGATGAAGATGTCCACGTCTGTAGGGCTACGAGTGATGGCGGACACGCCAAACTCGTCCGCTGCGGTCTTGTTGTCGAGCTGGATAAATGGTTCGACGCTATTGCTCGCTGGCTGCCAGCCTCCATTTTCGGAGTTCGTTGTTGAATTCTGTGGCCGGTATTTCCATTCGGGGTACATGGATGAATTGAGAGCGAAGATCTCCATGTGTGGGTAGCCCCAAGACACCGCGGTCGGGTAGCCGTAAGATGCCAGTGACGTGGCTGTGCCCGACATTGCTGGTGGGGCTGTAGCTGTGCTCACAGGAGGTGAAGAGGATGGCGATGCTGAAGTATCTTTAGCTCCAGAATGTTCGGACAAAAGGCCGCCTGCGACACCCCCGACAATAGCGCCCATCGCAATAAGAGCAACAACGAAGAGAATAATCCATTTCTTTCGCTTCCATCTGCCATGATACACTGTGACGGGCTTGAGATATGTCGCAGCAGCATACTTTGCGTCTGGAAGATCTTCCGCGGGAATCACTATCAGAGCGGAATTCTCGTGGGCATATTCGCGACCCTGCTTGTGAGCCCCGTCTTGTTCGGCTGAAGCCTGACAATTGGGTTCAACATGAAGCTGAGGCGCCGGATGAACTGTTTTCTCTGACGACAGCACCTCGAGCTCTGAATATGGCCCAGCCTCATGCGAGACACCATGAGACATATCCATAACCTCGGGTTTTTCCTTTAACCTAAACAAAAGCAAAACCAAGAAACTCTATCTCGGATGTGCAAAGTATCTTGAAGATCTGAAGACGGCCTCACCGCAATCTCAATGTGCTTATTGTTGCAGTAAATCTGAGCCTCGAGAAACAGGACCAGCTCTTCAGGCCGGATGCACAATTCTTCTTATTGCTTGCTAGATAAGCTAGGAGTTGTTGCAGATGGCCTAACCGACGAGACGGTATTTAATTGGGCGCGACTGGGTGCTGAAGACGTGTGCACTTTGGTACTCCGTATATAGTAGACGCCGGAAGTGGGCAATCCAAGAAATCAAATGACACAAATGACCAATTATAGACTCGAAGAGACTATGGGAGACCCTCGGAAATATGGTGGGCAGGTCTAATGACTCTGGAATGACACGCCAAATTCAGATCGCTTACAGCTGCTAACAGAAATTACCCTTGTATAGTTTCACTAGTTGGGGGCTATTTGTTCCATTCCCAGGTTCCTGAGACACTACTATTTCTCCTGCTTGCTGGAATCTTGGCATTTTTTGGGTCAACCGCATATCCTCCCAAATCTTATTTTCTTCTTTTCATGGTCCTATACATCTGATCACGTGTTCGTCTAATCACAGCTCGTAAGTGTATTTAATGGTTCAGGAGACTGGCTTTCCTTGATCGTTTGTGACTCGAGTTCCCCAGCACGCCTCACCTGCATCATAAAAGGCATGGTGGCTTACGTCGCCGACCTTCTCCATGACTTTGGCATGCAAACTCTTGCCAACTGACTTTCGATACAACATACACCACACGCTCCGGTATTCAACCGAAGTACTTCTTTTACGGACCCTAGGATAAAGGTCCACTATGCACTTTAGTTCATTACCGTACCACGAGAGCATGGCCAAAGTGAAGCCCCAGAAATGCCAGATCAATCCCTTTTCCTTGCAAGAACGCTCCTGAAGTGGTGTGTACACAAACCTAGAGATTCCAGCCATTCGCTCAAGAGGCCTCTTCTTGACCATGAGCATCCTCATTACCATGTCAGACAAACACTCGCACTGTACAATCGACACTTCCTGTAGCAATGACACATCGGATTTTTCCTTCGCCAGAACTGATATTTTTGGAGATCCCATCGGCTTTTGGCCCACAATAGCCATTGGCCATCGAAAGAGGTTGGGGCCCAATCAGTGTGGCCAAGAATTGTTCTCAAGCAATATCCTGTCAGAACATCCCATATCCGAAGACATTTATCTCGGCTAGCGGACACGAGGAGGTTTGGGAAGAAAGGCGATGCAAATCGAACAGCGGAAATGGAGTGATCGTGGCCCAGAAGGGTTCGAATGTTCTTGTACTCGTTTTTGGGATCCCACAACCTGATTGTAAGATCGCCAGAACATGGCAGGATATCTCCTTTTGGACCTCCAAAATCGACGTCAAGAACGGCCTTTGTGTGAGCCTTAACTGTCCTCTCTAATTCTCCCAGTTCCCAATCCCAAATCTTAGTAGTGCAATCTTCTGAGCCTGATGCAAGTGATGAGTAAACAGGATGAAATGCGACGCAAGTAATCGGGTCTTTGTGTGATTGGAGTGCGTGCAGGTGATCGGGGAAGCCAGTCCGTTGGATCGTGGTTACGCAAGAGAGGTTGGAGCGGCTAGGCTGAGTTCGTGCTGCAGACTTGCAATCTATGACTCTTGTTCCCATTCCCGTGCCATTGTATCTCGTCCCCGATTCTGACCTGCGGAATCATAGAAAACATCAGTCCCTTTCCACAACATCCACTCCCGTCGCCTCCCTTGACTCAGAAGATGTTATCGGATCTGATCCTGGCACTGCCACCCAGGCAACACGAACTCGAAAACGATACTCGTCATCTACCGAGTCCACGGCTCGTCATGACACGGGCAGTCCTCAAAAGCGGCCTCGCCGTGCCACGAATGAGACGTGGAAGGCGAAAGGGGCCAGGGAGGCACGATAGGCAGTGGATGCCAAACAATCTCTTGCATCACAAAACAGGCACGTATCGTTATCATGCCCACAGTGTTGATACAGAGGACAACAGGGTGGCAGACATCGAGGATGTCTATCTAGGGGGGCTCCATCCAGTGCGTTGTCGGATGGATAGCCTTATTGGTCGAGAATTGCGATGGCGCTGCGAGCGACTCTTCGAGATGAGGTATGGCCCAAAGGAGCTGCAGATGATGACGGCCGCGATGAAGCGGCAGTCCAAGAAGAAATGAGGACTTGCTAGCTTCGGAAGCATGGTGTAGAATGTAAGAAAGCATCTTAACTGAACCAGCTCGGAGAGAAATGAAAAATAAAACATGGGGCCGCAGGCCATTCCTGTCAGTACAATGTAGACACGCGATAGCACGACGAGCGAAGGGAAGATTATTTCTTTTTGCACTGATCAATAATGATATAAGTCACGTGAATTGACTTGCTCTCGCAGACTTGCTGGGCGCTCGGGCCAAAATGTTCACCTCGAAGCTGGAAAGAAACCGGTCGACAAACAACGGTTGTATTATGGGCAGTCTTGAGCACTGACTCAAGAAGGATTTTGCGTGCGAAGAGGTCTCTTCATGCGGATCACCAAGTTCTTCCTACCAGGATGGCTCGAGCAGTTCTCTTCTCTCCCGAACAACTCACCACTGCCTCTTGTTTGGATTGTACTTCCCACGCCCTCGCCACTCTCGTTAACTCGGCATCAGTCGAAGACTCCGACATAGATCGTTCAGTACCGCGACGGTCGATTCCACGCTACGCCGGCCGCTCTTCGCGCTCTCCCTGCATTGATCCGTCTTAAACGCAATTGCGCCGTTCCCGATAGATCTCGAACCCGGTTCGATCTCTCCGAGCTACGAAGTTACCAAAACCAATGTGCAAGAAATTTCAGGAACGACTTGATGTTCAATGGGAAGCGTGAAGGAGCGGTGCCGGCATGTAGGGCGAGATAAAACACAGAAGGAGGGTTACAGTAGAGAGCCGCTTTGAAGACACGTCGCCGCTCGCCAGAACCACCGATTTGGGAGGTAGTGGTAAATCGGCAGCTTTGTCTCCATATTCTTTGTGCTTTGTTCAATGGACCTCGGTATGGTCTCGGATATTGTATTACAGAATCAAGGATTGACAGTGCGGCGAAATTTTCAATGTCGGCATTTGAAGATTGCATGCAGTAAAGATATGCGGTAAAGTGGTATTGTGCCCTCCTCGCTCCACACTTCTCCAACATTTGCTTGCATGTTAAACCTCATTAAGTTTACCGTCGTACTCCCCATGGAGTCTTCGGCCCCATCCAACCTGGAAGTATCTTCCCTTCATTGGACTTTGCTCGCCCGTCTACGATGAAATCAGAGGTCCGTCCACGGTCCACGACCGGCCCACGGCCCGTGTTCCTATGGACGGTCCTCGCCCCGGTATATTTCTGCACGAATACTGTCCTTCGTGATATTCCCAGTCTCAGAGCAAAGTGGGGTACTCTCGGATTTTGTATCACCAGGCGAATGGCCAGTACGATCTACCATAGATACAAAGGGGACCCGATTTTCCTCGCGTTTCACGAGTTCATTTCGCCAATCTGCCTTCGAAGATCTCATACCAGCAATCGACAATGGTAAAAGAAATCTTCACCGAAACTGGTGACCCAATTCATCTTGAAAAACCTGGCCTAGATGAACATGCCGGCCTTGATGACTCCAATGTACGTTGTTCGAGCTTCCCTCATTGTAATTCCCCCACTGACCTCCTCACAGCTTCCAAGATACGATGACAAAGAGACCAAGCGAATCCTACGAAAGGTCGACTATCGGCTCCTGCCTATGTTGACCTTGCTCTACGTCCTCGCCTTCTTGGATCGAGGCAATATCGGCAATGCCAAAGTCGCTGGAATGAACAAAGACCTCAACCTGACTGGGAAGCAATACAATTTGGCACTGACTGTATATTCCTCATCTTTCCATCGCTTGCCCATTCTCACAAAGGATCCAGGTCTTTTTTTTCCCGTACGCGATATTCGAAGTCCCCAGCAACATCGTCCTCAAGCTCATGCGACCATCCTGGTGGATCTGTATCTTGATGGTTTCATGGGGTATCGTACGTCATGCACCGTCACTCTCCTTATTTATCTCGCTGACTTCTGCGTCCTAGGTCATGACACTCCAAGGAATCGTACAAAACTACCATGGTCTCATCATCACCCGGACACTACTCGGTCTTACAGAAAGTGGCTTCTTCCCTGCGGCCACTTACCTCTTGACCACCTGGTACTGCCGCTTTGAAGTCCAAACCCGACTCTCCATCTTCTTCTCCGCCGCTTCTATGGCCAGTGCATTTTCCGGCCTATTGGCCTTCGCCATTGAAAACATGGTCGGCGTCGCAGGTAATTCTTCTCATCTCCGATCCGTCCTCTGCCCCCCGCCCTTTGCTCAATCGACATTCTAATCTCTGGATGTTAGGCCTCGGAGGCTGGCGGTGGATCTTCATCCTTGAAGGCATCTTCACCGTCGTCGTCGGCACTACCCTGCCCTGGACCCTGCCCGACTCTCCTGAAACCGCCAGCTTTCTCACCCAAGCCGAGCGCGACTTCATCAACCGCCGCCTCGTCCAAGACGCAGGAACCTCCGCCGGTACTGTTCGGACACGAGACAGCTTCAAATGGCGATACCTCCGCGCCGCTTTGACGGACTGGAAGATCTACTTTACGGTCATCATCTACTGGGGCAACAGCATCTGCTTGTACGGATTCACGTACTCTGCCCCCACCATCATACTCGAGCTAGGATACTCGTCTGCACAGGCCCAATTGCTGACGATACCCGTCTACTTTCTCGGCGTGTGCAGTACGATTTTCTTCTCCGTGCTCGCGGACAGACATCAGTCGCGATGGCCTTTCATCGTGGTTCCCTTCAGCGTGGCATTGGTGGGATTCATTGGGCTGCTTTCGATTCCGCATCCGAAACTCCCCGGGCTGACATATGCGTTCCTCTTTACGATCCCGGCCGGTGTCTATCCCCCTTTGATCGGGTGTTTGTCTTGGGTCGGTAATAATCTGGCCCCAACATGGAAGCGCGCGGTCGGCATGGCATTGTTGATTTCGATCGGCAACATGGGCGGTGCGATTGGATCGAATATCTTTCTCGCGGAGCAGGCGCCACATTACTGGTTGGGATATGGGATTGGAACGGGCATGGTGGCTGCGGCGATTGTGTCTACGTTCGTGCTTCGGATCGCGTACGGGGTACTCAATAAGAAGAGAGATCTCACGAGCGAGGAAGAGATAAGGGCGAAGTATTCAGAAGGTAAGTGCTTTCCTCGATGGGCCCGGAAGACGGCATGTTGGCTAATGAGTTCGTCGTGCAGAGGAACTTCTCGATCTTGGAGATAAGTCGCCCTTGTATCGCTATGTGGTGTGATCGGAACGGTTTCTTTCAAGGGTGTGGATCATAGAGATGAAAATACGAATGGAAAATTCACGATCATAGATGAAGAAAATTCTTAAGAGATGATAGGTGGTTGGATTTCTCTGATCAAGAAGCTTTTTCCTCCTCCCATTCCTTTTCCGGTACTCTGCTGTATCATCTTCTGAATCATGCTGTCATATCTGGGACAAGAGGGGAAAGAAAAGGAGCAAGGGAATACCGCAATGGCAAAGGCTGACTGAAGTAGTCGCTGTTATCTGTGTCTTGTTTTGAGGGTTGTGTGGGTGGCGGAAGTAAACAAGTGCTCTAGTGTTCTAGTCCTAAATAGGCCTAGCGTACCACGTGACATGTGTCTTCAATCGAGACAAAGCTCTCGCGTTAATGGCTATGATAATGCTTTGGTCTGGCTCGAAGAGCTTTCGTCCTTGTCAATCCCCTTCTCCTCCCCTTCCCCTCAGGAATAGCACATCGGAAGATTTGACATCGAAACCATGGGCCAAGAAGACAGGCACGATCATACTTGTCGAGGAGGATTGCAAGGTCGTGGAGCACTTGCTAGGAATCGACTCATGAATCGATTCCCTAACTAAGCATGACTAATCAAACGGCGTATCCTCATTGGATGGCAAATGATTATTCCAATCCGCCGGGAACGTATGCAGGCACAAAACTTGGCACCAAATTCGGCTCGCGCCAACTTCGGGTATTATGTAATTGGTACCTATGTACCTGGTACATACCTGGGGAAGCAAAATAGAATTTCTTCAATCGATAAAGCTTCTCTGGCTGGTTCACAGACTAGATTCGATCCGTGAATCATCTCGATATCGATATCTATCGAGTAGGTGCCCTCCCCCGGCCACATGGTCCACGGATTGGATCCGATGATGGGTCGGCGAGCTCACGTGCTCACGTGACAACGCCAAGCCATAAGCTTACATTATTGGCCAGCATGTCACTCTTGGCGTCGCCACACAACGCCAAGCCCTAACTAGGGAAATCTGCCGCCGAATTTGGGCAATTTGCGTCGCCGCTTTTAGAGTACTTCTTCCCTAAATCCCAAGACCATCCACTCTTCGCTCAATGCAAGCGTCTTCATTCTCACGTGAGCATTTGGCTGTGTGGATTTCTGCCAAGGATTCTGGCTTACGCTTTCATCTATTGCTTCTCTCTATTGAGCGTTCACTGTTGGCCAGAATAGGCAATGCTGGCTTGGCGTTGTCACCGCGACTGGCTTGGCATTATCACTCATAGTGACACCTGAGGTAACTTATACCCTTAACTCTTTCAATCTTCTCTCCCATACAATTCATCATTCATAATCTCTTCTACTTCAGTGCTCCCACTTCTCGCCTCAGTACGCGCCTGATTCATCAACAACTTTCCCTGCCTGATTCTTCTACCAGCCTTTTTTACTCCTTCAACATTGCTCCTTCCGGCCTTCGAACCCAACATGAATACAATTTGCAGACCCAGCGATGGGCCACCTACATGTACACCCATGTCAAGGTCATCCTCAAGCTCAACTACATCAAAAGAGACTACGGCAGTGGAGAGTTCAGCACCGGAGATATCGCCCTTAGAGGGATTGGAAGACGCTCGTATCTATACGTACAGAGGGATCCGAGACCTAAAAGAACGTGTCAACTTGCAGTCCGCTGCGTTGATGGACGGTCGCACGAATCAGCAATACCTTGTTTTCAGGGGTGTCACAAAAGGCCACCTTGAAAAGATTGACCATCAGCGCGCCAGCATAGGGAAGCATACTCGGATGAGCCATTACGCGGATAACAATCTATTAGTTATCAAGATGATGCCCTCAGCGGAACATGAAGTTGTGCACCTCACACTAGCCCGGGAACTTAATGACGCGTTTTCTGGAATGGGCCTCCCAAAAGGCTGCTTATGTCCTATTGGTGGGACAACGTACAAACTCCCTAATTCCTCTAAAGAGGGTGATATGGGATTCCGCCCCGTCCCGATCCGAAAAAAGAAATCTGACTGGCCAGCAATTGTTTTTGAGTCTGGACTCTCTGAAACGCTTCCTCGTCTGAGACATGACGCAGCATGGTGGATTGTCAACTCTGGAGGAGATGTCAAGATTGTCATCATCATCTCAATAAAGCTAGCACAGAAGACGCTAACAGTCGAAAAGTGGTGCTCTTCTCCGCCTCCTGCATATAGACCAACCACCAGAAGCCACCCAAGTCCCAACGCTTCAGTTCCGACAAAAGTCCAAGAGCTTACTATCACCCAAAATCCCACTCCACAACTAGGTCCTACTGCTCAGTCGAATATCATCGGCCAGCCAATTGTCACCGTTCAGCCAGGCACTGTCTCAGCCTATGACGTTGCTGGAGCGCCTCTGATTCTCGAATTTGACAAAATCATACTCCGAGCCGCTGTACCGCCAGAAGGCGACGTCGTCTTTAATGTCGCGGATCTTGCGGCCTGGGCGGACTACTTCTGGGAGAACGTTGAGTAGAGAGATCGCAAGGGTTATGGCAGGATCGGGGGGACACATTGTGGGAGTGGCAACGGCTAATGGCATACAGGACAACGGAAGTGTCATCACTTTTTCAGGATTTTTCTAAAGGCTTGTTCGGGGCAACGGAAGTACCATCCTTACCGAGAGATCACTTAAGAGCTTATTCAGGACAACAGAAGCGCCATAGATTTCTGTCAAACAATGAATGCCAAGAGAATATGAATTGAATGCTTTACTCTTTAGCAACTGGTCCTGCCAGGTTGCGGATCAGATCTGCTGGTGTTCAGAATCGTTCGAGGTTGCGGAAGGTGTTCTCATCATTGCTTTCATCATGATCGGCCCTTCTTTGAACGTGATAGAGAGAATTAAAAATAGTTCTAGCTTCGCTTGCTCTTTCCGACAAAACCTGCTCGAGTGCGTAATCCAGTACAGCTCCTCTAACCGAATAATCATAAACTGTCGCGGTTTAGAGAGTTGTAAGGCTCGACCTTGGAATCGCCTCTTATCAGCCTCACGCATCTTTCTAAGAGGCGCGCTTTTCTTGACATCGCTCTTTAGTCTTCGGATCGATGGCTCCGTCTTCTGGGCTGTTTACGCTTTGGCTGTCGCCTGCTGCCACTATGACAGGACGAATCGTCGCGACTTTGCCGTTCTTCGACTCTCCTCTCCTCTTCTGCGAACTGCTCCTCATCATCATGATCTAATTCCTCCGGGGGGGGGTCCTTTCTCAAGTCCGCTTTCGAGTTCTAGAGTTAATAGCGTCGAAATTCAAGCTTGCTTTATATGTTAGGTCGTTCTCCTCTGCGGTGATGAGGTACCTAAAGAGGTCATGTGCAGAGATGAATATCTCACTATCCAAGGATACGTTTTCGTCGGCGTAGGCGGCTAGTGTAAAGTCTTCAAGGCGGAGGCGCAGACCAGCTTGTGAGTCGCCGATTTGGTTTCCATCCTCGCTGCGAAACTCCTAAGAGATGTCAGTACGTACTAAAGCAGATCTAATTAGTTATGAAATACCTGATCCGGCGAACTTTTGTGCGCAACCAATTCTTTGCCCCCAGCAGCATTGACTTGAATTCGCGGTCGCCATATAGACACAGTGACTATCTTGCCTCTGTAGTCGAGGTCTAACCCCAGGTCGGCAGGATTGTACTGCTCATTGAATTTGTCAGTGGAATTAAGGAGGCACCAGTGATCGTATCTCCCTTTCGAACCCGTCGTGAACTCATCGCCGCGAGTTGGGATAGTGAGAGAAGTGATGTTTGAGATGTAGAATGGAAAATCTTTTGGTCAGGCAGCAGTCTCGTGGGGTTTCACTTACTTCGTTGCGCGGCAGCCTTGAGAAATATTTGGTTCAGGTGGGCCAGGAGGGGAATATATGTTGTCTCGATACCCAGACCTCTCTCGGAACGAAGCCCATCAGGACATGATCCTCCACGAAGTTCCGGAGACCATAATTGAGCATGACATCTCCGTCTTCCTAAGGGATGAATTTTCGAAGATTCGGAAGCGCTATAATGCTCGCCTACCTTCTCAGACTCTACCAAATGATTCCTGGCCGGATCACGAAGTGCTTGAAACTTTGGTCAAAGTGGCCGTCCTTCTATTTATTGTTGCGGCGACAGTGTGTCGTTATATTGGAGACTTGAAATGGAGCCCTCCGAAACGACTTGAGAAGATCTTAGAGTTTCAATGAAATGGTCCATTGGGTCAATTAGGGCAGATGGAACAGACATACCTACCTGTCCTCGCTCAAACCTTTGACGATCGAGACGAGGAAAAAAAATTCTATCAAGAGTTCCGCGAAATTGTTGGATCTATTGTCACTCTTGCTGAGCCGCTGTCCACGAGGTCCTTGGTAGCTCTTCTAGACTTGGATCGAGATGTCGTCCTGCACCATCTAAAGTTGTCGTACAATGAGAGGAAAAGAGGAAGTATCTCTCGATTGTTACATTGATTATTACATTGTGTGCTCTCTGTCTTCTATCAAGTTGAGGTCCTGCCTCGCACGTATATATAGAGAAGATTTGCCACCGCCACTCGTCGTCTCCGTTGGTAAGATCCTTGTATAGCTGAATGTTTCAGTATCATAGCGGAACATATTGCCACAGCTGTTTGACAGCAGTTTACCCCGATCCTGAACCTGTTCGCCCTTTCCACCTGTCCTTCGGCGAGTTTCTATTGAGCGACAAAATGCGAAACAGACCCTTTGGGGTGGACGACCAGGCCACGCATCGATTGCTTTCGACCAGATGTTTACAATTTTTGTCAGCGGAGAATGGTTTGCACGAGAACATGTGTGAGCTTAGGTATCCCGGTCAGCTACGAAAAGAGGTTGATCCAGTTACAATCGACCAACGCCTCCCACCTGCATTTCAATATGCGTGCCGGTACTGGATTCACCATATACAGCATAGCTTGGTTCAGATTCGTGATGAAGACGACGTGCATGTGTTTTTGCAGAAGCACTTCCTGCACTGGCTTGAAGCTCTAAGCCTAATGGGCAGGATCGCTGAGGCTCTGGTGAATCACACCCCCTAAGGTGATCCATGGATTGGATCCGATGGGGATTGTTGTTAAATGGGTCTAGTTAAATGCTCTAGTTAATCGCACCCCCTTGAGGTGGTCCATGGACTGGATCCGATGAAAGGGGTTGGCACGTGACTTATCCTGTGCCAAGCCTTATCGTTAGGATTATCGTTATTGCCGATAACTTATTCATCATCCTCCTCGTTCGCACACTTTGGGGAAAAAAAAAACACCACGCGATTCGAACCCCTCCTATAGCCAGTGTATAACTGTCTTGCAGATGGGGCGCCCCAACCAGCGAAAGTAGTCAGTCAGACAAGTCAACTTAGGGAGTCAACCCCCGAGTATCAGCAAGTGCGACATCAACAATCACTGGTTGGAGCATTACGTTTACCCATCTAGGGCACCTAGAAAGCTCAATGGAGCCTAGGCCGGACAACCCTCTTGCCTCACTAGTGAGGTCCCTCAATTCTATCGGTTCGACCAAAACTCGGTGTTACCAGAGTTTCGTCCTTGATAGGTCAACCACGACTTGGTGTCAATTTTGAAGCAGTTTTCTGCAGAATAAAATATAAACCTTAATTTTGGGAGGGGTCACGTGATTTTACCGTCCTGTGGATTTCTGCCAAGGATTCTGGCTTACGCTAAATTACATTCGTTTACGGAACATATATAAGTAAAGCGGCCACCCCCAGCAGATAGTTTTAGTTAGTTCATACATTCTCTCCCCGCCGCTACAACCACAGTCGAAGCGAGTCCGAGTAGCGGAGGTGACTGCCGCCAGAAGGCATCGTCTATAGGAGTATCTACAGACCACAGAACGCGTTAGTTGTTAAGAAAAACCTCTTTCTAGTCTTCACTGACCTTTTGGTGTACGTGTTGAACAAACGATAACCCATCGTTCATGGCAAACCTACTCGTTTTGTAACATTCACCTCCTGGCGTGTAACACCATTGACAGCGGCAGTATACACCTCGTAGATAGATATACAGATGGGCTCAATCCCACACTCATTTGGTGAGCATTCAATACATCTCGAGTTGCACACAGTTTGATAGTACGTGCGATTTTGGGACTACCCCGCAAACCTACCAGTTTTTGTAATACCGCGGGCTTCTGTTTCTCGCCAATATTGCTACGCTGAAACTCCGAATCCAAACTTCCGAAGTGAATTATATAACCGCGAGCACGATTTCTACTCACCGTGACAAGATGGCTAAGCATGAAAACTCGTTGGTTTTCCTCCGTCCGCATCTTGAATCTCGACACAGGTCTTCCTGTCCTTCCTGTCGTTCTCATCATGGCCGTCCTTCCCGAGCCCGCTGTCTCCGACGACGTCCCCCAGCGAGTCAAGGACTCCTCCCGACGCATGTTCTGGATCCGATCTCTTCTCCTCCGCACGCGCCTCGACAACGATGTCTGCAACCAGAATTACGCCGGCAACGGCACAGACGACGACCCCTACATTGTCGATTACCTGCACAACGACTGCCAGGACGCCATGAGTTTTTCCAAGAGGCGAAAATGGGCCGTTGCCGTTCTCCAGTCCCTGTCCACGTTTGCGGTGACCTTTGCCAGCTCGGTGTACGTCAGCGGCATCGAAGGCGTCATGCAGCGCTTTGACGTGTCCGAGGAGGTGGCCACGCTGGGCTTGTCGCTCTTCGTGTTGGGGTTCGCCCTGGGACCGCTGATCTGGGCGCCTCTGTCGGAGGTGTACGGGCGCAAGTCCATCTTTGTGATTTCGTACACGGCGTACACGGCATTCAGCGTGGCGGCGACGTGCGCGTCCAACATCACGGCCTTGCTGGTTCTTCGCTTCTTTGCGAGCGCGTTTGGTTCGTCGTCGATGACGAATGTCGGGGGCGTCATTGCCGACATGTTCAGCAGGGCGGAGCGCGGACTGGCGACGGGATTGTTTGTCACGGCTCCCTTTCTGGGGCCTGCACTTGGTAGGTGGTGGATGCCCTTCTTTCATGCTGCCATTTTTGCTATTGTTGCCCTTGTGCACTTGCTAATTCTTATCAATTTTTTTTTTTTCAGGGCCCATTGCCGGTGGTTTTCTTGGCGAGACCCAGGGCTGGCGCTGGATTCTCGGTTTGATCGCCATACTGGGTGGTGTGATCTGGATTGCCACAATGCTCGCCACCCGCGAAACATACGCGCCGTTCATTCTGCGACGTCGAGCCAAGGCCCTCTCCCGGATGACAGGAAGCGTATATGTGTCCCGGCTCGATGCGGGACAGCCTCCCAAGACACTCTCGCAGGAGCTCTCGGTCTCTTTCACGCGCCCCTGGATCCTTCTGTTCCGCGAACCCATTGTCTTGCCGACGTCGCTGTACATCTCTATCGTCTACGGTACACTGTACATGTTCTTTGCCGGGTTTCCCATCGTCTTTCAAGTTGCTCGAGGCTGGAGCCAGGGCACCGCCGGACTTCCGTTTGTCGGCGTCGCCATTGGCGTCTGTCTTGCCACGCTGGCGGCCGGCGTGGACAACAAGCGCTACGTGCGCCTGTGCGCGGCGGCCGAGGCAGAGGGATGCGCAGTCGAGCCAGAAGCCAGACTGGGTACGGCCATGGCAGGCTCTATTGTCCTTCCGATTGGTCTGTTCCTGTTTGCGTGGACGACGTATCCGTCGGTGCACTGGATCGTACCCATTATCGGCGCCATGTTTTTCTCGTGTGGACTTGTCATGGTCTTCATCTCGCTGATGAGCTATCTGGTCGACTCTTGTACGTTTTGATCCTTGCTTCGTGATCCTCTGCAACAATGCACATGCTCACCTGGGTACAGATGTCGTCTATGCTGCTTCTGTGCTGGCGGCCAACTCGGTGCTTCGGTCCTTGTTCGGCACCGCGTTTCCGCTGTTTACCACCCGAATGTACGAGAATCTCGGAAATCAATGGGCGAGCTCCATTCCTGCGTTCCTGGTGCTTGGGTGCCGTGCCTGCCTTTCCCGTTTCTGTTCCACAAGTACGGTCCGCAGATACGTTCCAAGTGCAACTATGCTTCCGAAGCAGCAAAGGCGCTGGAGATGATGCGTCGTCGGCACGTCGTCGTGATTGGAGGTGAGCCAAATGGGCCGGAGACGGAGGCTGAATAGGTTGTTTGGTGGAGGCTGGTCCCGACAGTATTATTAGCCCTCCGTAATACGTAATGGGGCGCCGGCGTGGGAGTTTTAGAGATGGATGGAAAGTATACAAAGTGTGGATTCAATATTATAGTATAGATAGGTTGCTTTACTTTACTATTGTTTTCTTATTTTCTATTTAATTCCTGATAGAGAGAAGACCCAGGTCAATTGGACTTGAGCTACCTAGCCATATATTTCTCATCTTAGTCTGAAGCGAACGACGGGGAAGTTGCAGGGGGGAGAAAGGATAGATCGACAAGCTCCGTGTGCTAATAGATTCCCATACGGTTAACATTGCCCCAGATAATGCATGTGCCTCGATGGCGCCCGTTCTTGGGAAACCCATGTCAATATCGACCAGTAAAATCCAGTTGCCCAATCTGCCACTCGTCCAAGAAATCAAATCCTAGGAAATCCACATCGAACGACGGATTATTCTCACAATGCTCCAATTGAGACGAAACTACGCTGACCTGTGTGTGCGGCGAAGCGTACGCATCCGCCATGCTGTTGTCTTGTGACTGCGACTGCGCAGGTACTTGACCGAGAATGTTGGGCGGAACCAAGTACAGATTTTTCTTGGCAAGAATCTCCTCAAATACCGGCAGCGCTCTTTTCAGGATGGGTATTTCTTTTCCCTGGGTGAGAACAAGCATTGTCTGGCTGATGGATATCCGAGCCATGGAACGGACGAGGTCTGTCTCGGCTGGATCGAGGGCCGATTCGATGTGTAGAGCGAGCAGCGCAGTTATTGTGGTTACGCTGACAAGGCCATTGTTAGTTCCATTGGTGCGTTCTATAGAGCATGTCCGAAAAATGGGAAATGGGAAGAAATAAACGGCACCTACAAAGACATGGGAAAGTCCTGAAGGGTACCACTCGCCAACACCCTCTTTGGCAATCGTGTCTAACTCCAGAATAGCGGACCGAAGCCGCTGTTGGGCCCACTCGCTCCAGTCCGCATGTCGGGACTGCTGCCAACAGCGTCGTATCAGACGACACAAGATGCACTCAAACCTGTAGCTCATGGCTTGTATATTCAGATAGTACACGTCAGTTCCAGTATTCCCACCCACGTGCATCTTGGCAGCGAGAGACTTGCGCCATGCATCGAGTGGGTGCATCATTTGGCGAGGATCCTGCTGTGGCTTGTTTGTCACAATGGACAAACACTGTCCGACTAAATAGAGTTAGCCATGCTTGTGGTATCAGTTACAGATTGAAAATAAAATGGAATAAGAACAAAGAATCGAATAGAACCAACACGCACATATTCGAGACAACTCGCAGTGGACAACAGGCGAGGCCTTTTGCTGAGGCGTGACCGCCGATAGCAAGCCGGATGATGCTTCCGAGACATCCTCCGCTTCCCAGTCATCTTCCGTCCTAGGCTTGATCGCGGAGGTGTTTTCGAGTAGTCGCGAGCGTCTGGTATTGACAAAGACGTGGAAAATGTCTAAAGACTACGTAGCTATAGTAAGCATAAAGCAGGGAGAACAGAACACGGTGACGAGACGAGGGACGTACGTAGAGAGCCCACCAGATCCTTCTGTACAACTTTAAGACTTCGCGGGGTTTGTCTTCTCGAACACACCTGTCGGAGAGTCCGTGGGCAGTTAGTACCCGCAATACATGTCACAGGTGTCACAGTCCAGGAGTAGGAAACGCACGTGTTGCGTAGGTCAAGCTTGGTGGCAAGACGGATCGCGTTGTGGAACCAGTAGCCAGAGTCCCGGTCGGTGGGGTGGTCGAGAATCACCATGCACAAGATGATAGATCCCTGCAGCATCAACAACGGGTCATCTTCGGCGGCAAAGTCGTGGAGCAGCTTGGCCTTGGAGAAGAACGACTCTTGCGCGGCCGAGCGGCTGGCAAAGCCGCAGGCGGATAGCACATCTGCTGGCGCATGGAGACTGGCTGGTGTCAATATGACGCGGAGCAGGAACAGCGAGCAGTCGCCGGATTGATACCCGCGAATGAAATCAGCTCTGCTGATCACGGGAGCAAAAGGGTAGACGTGGTCAAAGTATGTCTTAATGAGGGCATCTCTGTTGTTTTGGTCTGTGAGTAGAGTGAAGATGAAGACCCAAAGAAGATGGAGGATGGAGGATTCAAGATTGTCTCACAAGTGGCGCGGAGGAGGTAGATCAAAGACACCCTTCTTGACAAGATATTCATTGTCAATGTCGTCCAATTGGGGTAGCTTGGTCCATAGACGGTTCCAAGGAGTAAAACTGTCTTCCGGCCTTGGACGGTAGGGGGTACTGAAAGTGGTGTGGTGTCGACTGGATTCTGCAGTTTCTTTCACGGCGTCGTTTAGGATATTGAGGTAGAGCAGATCTGGCTCAGTCTGACGTGGGCTTTGGCAGTCCAGGGGATCGGAAGTGGAAGGTTGCTTTGATTGTTTTGATTGATTGAGACTGTCTAACTGGCTACTGTTGGATGTAGCCGGGATGCCTGGAATCTGGCAACGGTTAGTGGGAATTCTGAAGGATCATCGAAGGAGAAGAAGAAAGGCGGAGAAGAGAAGCAGCCGTGACAATGCCAATCATCTAAAGCATACTCGTACATGGCTAGGAATCGGTAAAACATGTATTGCTTTCCTATGGGCCCCATCTATGTTAGCACGCACCTAATGAACCATGAACCATGAACCATCCTATCAGTAATCAACTCACCTGGTCCGACCCTTACGGACCGGCAGTACACAATCCTTGGCACACTTCCTGCTGGTACAGCTGCTGCAGGGGAGGCCAATCACGGCGGCATCGCACTTGACCTTGCGTACACGGCAGAGCACACATGCCTTGTTGGCTTTGAGGGCACGTTTTCCGGTTTCTCCCGCCCTCTGTGGCTCGCTACCAGAAACAGAAATATTCATTGAAGGGGGAGGGGCGTTTGTTGTAGCCTGCAATGGCGTGGACGATCTGTCGAACTGAGCGAGATGCGGATAGAAGAGGTGGGAACTCGTGATCAGGGCATAAGAGGGCTTAGGTGGTGGAGTGAGGGCGTTTTCCAGATTTCGGCGTTTGAACTTCAGGTCAGCTCGGAAGTTTGTATATTCCCGAGTCTTGCTGTATATGCCGAATATGTGTTGACAATAGTGGATCCTGCCCTAGCCCTACCCCACCGCCAAGAAATCCTCCTGAACTGAGTCGGATTTTCGCACTAATGTGTCTGGGCATCGGCTATTAATACGAGTATATACAATTACGTGACTTTGGGAGTAAAGTCTTTACGTGATGTATTTATCACCAATCAGGTCCACATAGCCAGTCGCTTGTGTATAGACTGTGCGAGGGGTTCTCTTCTATTTCCGTTCAAGGCTGTCGCCTAGTTCAACCGTCGCGGATGACTCTCTACAAGTCGTTCCACTTGAAATCCTGGCCTCTGATTTGTCCAGCCTTTGAAGAAATCCTGGTAGGAGGAGATTATGCTTCCATGATGTGGATTCTGCCTGGTTCGCAAGGTCATATTGGGAAAATCCTTCATGGCAATTGGCTACTTAGAAGATGATCTAGCAGCAAAAGTGCTAGATTTATCAATAATAAAGCCTCTCCCTCCCCTCAGCTTGCTCATCCTCAAGATCACATTTTGAACTTCCTCCTCCCGGGCCCTGTTGGCCAGTCACGTGACTGGTTGCCTTGGCAACGTCACGTGAGGCTGTTTGGCTTGGCAACTTGTGCCCTTCTTTTCGTCTTGCTCTCTCTTAGATAGAACAACAACAACACATTCCTTCTCTAGACTCCACAGTCTATCAGGCCCCTGCACCGCAGGCCCTCCTCCTCCTCTTCTGTGGTTCTGCGCTTGTAAGTAAATCATTTATATTGGACACATAATTCTCATTCCGTAATCTTTGACGTACTTGAACGACTCCATGTCAGCAGCCTCTTGATCCAAGCAATCCATCGTGGTTTCAAGTTTTGGTGGCTCAAATACTATGTTTTCACGGTATTATAAATTGAAAAAGAGGGATCCGTCTTAAGATGACTGAGGGCTACAATAGTGGTGATGTCAGTAATCCGGATTTCCAGATTTCCGGAACTCCAGAAGCCGTAGACTCGAAAAGATAAATTTAGCGATATAGATAGAGGATCGCGCGAGATATACCCCTGACGCCATGAGGAATCGATTCCCGCGAACGCTGATGTCTTCTGTGTGGTGCAAAATGCCGCAAACCAGGGAGACTGCCCACGGATCATCTTCGGACGGTAGATAATCGGAGGCTTTGCGCTTGTAAAGGAGAGCCAGGCCGCGGCGAATTTACGACGGAACACCGTTTCGAAAGCAGGTGAAGCCCAATGTGAGGATTTTGGATGATACAAGCATCCGCGTCCATGAGATTTCGATATTTCCTTCCTGGATATTTGGTTCATCCTCTTGTCATGGCTCAGAATTTCAATCACTTTCTGGATCATCCCCATTGTGTGACTGAACATTCCATCCTTCGTGTTGAACAACTTCAGTTTGTGGTTGAACTCGTCGGACTTGACCTTGGCGGTGGAAACCGGACTCGCTTTCTGACGACTGTTCGACAGGATGTATCTCTTCTTCCTCCTGTCCTAAACCCCTACTTCTAATCTTTGTTCCCAGAGAATCGATCGGACCAATCTTGACGTGAAGCGCTGAGAATCATTGATGAGATCTGCGAATCTGAAATTCGAGAGTTGTCTGGCCAGCAGGAACAAGAAGAAGTTTGCCGCGTTGTCTGCACCATATATAGACCTTAAAAGGCTCATGATGGAGTTGATCAAAATGAAGATAGTGAAAATTTACTTCACTCCAGGTGATCCATGACAATAGATAGCCCTGCCGTGGCAATGCTTGTATTATATAGGCGGCATTGGGTGAAGAGAGCAATCACACCCAAACAGTAAAGCCAAAGAAAGATGTGGTGTCCTTGTGATATCAATCATTTTAGCTTTGTTAGTTCGCACTCAGTCATGGCTCTTGTTTTCTAACTGTCAATATTTCACCATGTTTTCATTGAACATTAGGAATGAACAATTGGAGACCAACTTCTAACGCAAACATGGTGAGAGGTGAACAACAACGACGAAAGGGTGCAGAGAGAGGGTCAAGTCACGTGGAAGGGAGAAAAATGACGAGGCTGAGGGCACGACATGACCTTCAGGGGGAAGCCAGAATTGTCCAGAAACCGGAAAGAGCTGCTGGGAGGTAAAGGGAATTGATTCGACAAAGGAGCCATTCGACAGAAGGCCCCGGTAAAGTCCTGAGAACGCTTACCTGGTATCTGGCGTCCAGCTCATGCAATCACATCTTGTCTCTCAATGGCCTCTGAGAAAGGAAGTTGTTTGGAATCTTGAACCCACGTGCCTTGGTCTGATATCCATGCTTCCTTTATCCTTTCCCGGCCCTGTGCACACTAAAAGAGTCTCTTTGCTGCGTTGTCGTCACATCACACTTCCCAAATCGGCTCCGTCTCTTCCTTTCCCCCTTCGAGCTCCTCAATCTGCTTCCTGAGCACATCGGCCCGGAATGCACGGAACGCCTTCTCGATTCTCTTCTGCGTTTCTGGATCCCGGGAGATCATTCTCCTCGCCGACCAAGATCCGGTCAACAATCCGGTCTCACCTCCAAGGAAGAGCCCGCCCATGCCGAAGAACGTGTAGGTCATGATATCGCCTAGCGGAGTTGGCTTCAGCCAAGGAGTCATGTCGGGGATTTCCACTTCTCGACCATCTGCGAAGCGGACGTGTGTGGGCTTTTCTGCAGCGCGGATGGCTTGGTACATGGCTTTGCGGTTGCCTCGGAGGCGGAAAGCGAGGAAGCCTCCCAGTGCGATGCCGGCGAGGGATCCGATGAGGGCGTGTGTCGAGGCTTTGGAGCCGGCATTCTTGATCAGGTCACGGTCTGATTCTAGTAAGCTGTTGTGGAACAAGGTGAGTCAAACTGAGTCCAGCTAAGGCAAACCGGGATGTCCACCTACTCATGCTTGAAGTGCTCTTCCGCAAGCTTCGCTAGGTCCTCACTCCGCGTCCTTCGCAGGGCAGCGAACGATCCGGTCGACATCTGGAGGGATCGAAATGTGCTTCGGGCACTTGACACTAGTCACACGAATTCGAAGCCACAAAGTCACCCGAGGGAATCGGGCTGGCGTGAATTGGGCAGTATCACCAGAAAGGTACGACGAAGTGGGAAGCGTTGATTCTGGTACGTCATAATGTCGGAGATTCTGTTCCGGGAGACCGTTTTCGGCGGAGTATAGACACCACGAGAGATGCCAACACTTCTCCTTTAGAACCCCCCTGCAAGTATGTAGCCACGTTCATTGCCTAGATAGCTCTTTGTAGTCAACCTCGTCCTTTATATCACCCCTACTAGGAGATACATTGACTCGCTCTGTATCCCTCCCACCTGACTCGAAACCCACGTAACCATTTACGTGACAATGTGGTTGTCGTCTAGTCACCATCGTCCGATCTCTATTCTTAGTCCAGTTCGGCTTAAGGGTATAAAACTGTTTCAAATGGTCCCTTCAAAGAAGAGATCCAGAAAGGGATTCTCCAAAACCCTAAGAAAACACGAAAGGGAAATGGCACAGGCGGCAGCACCATCTGACTTCAACGATGAGGATTACAATATACGCTCACCGGAGCGCACCGAACTCTTGACCCAAATTAAGGAAGTACTTAACGGCCCCCCCGTCTCCTCTGCCTTCTGGGCTTGCTGTCAACTCGCCGATATGAGCCGCTTACGAGTCATCGCCGAAACGGATCGGTAATTCGTTATTCTCTCCGACCGTTCAACATATTTTGGCCCTCACGATGGGTGAGACACGGGCTCGCGCGAGTCGAGGGTGAGCACAGGGCGGCGTTACCCTGTTGCCTCAGCCGAGTGAGTCGCGAGTAGTCTTCCTTTATATTGGCGCAAGACCAGCATGAGCTTCCTATTGGACTCATTCCCAGCAGCCGCATTTGTGCGTGCGGCCAAAAGGCTGATTTCTCGCCAAGATACGCTCATTACTCCGCCGACTGCATGTACAACAAGCTCTTCGCCGGAATGCGACGTAGGCATTATCTGTGCCTGCTTGCCCGCCATACAGATCCTTCTTCGCCGAGTTGCACCTAGGGGCAGAATTACCAAGACGATCACCACAACGGTGACTGATTTTCCCATTGCCAGTGACTCCGTCATCGAACTAGCTGACAATCGTAACCAGGGCAGTGTCGCAGACGGTTCATTCGCCACTGTCTCAAGTGAAGCTCCACGGGAGCAAGGTCACAACATAAGCCCCCTTGCGCGAAAGTAGAAGTTATTGTACGAATTATGTAAACCGGAATAGAAATTAGAGGGAGAAAATAAATAGTGTATTAGCTTAACGTACATGATAAGTGAGTGAGCCGAACCTTGGTCTGAAAATCACATCGGCTCCTCCATTTAGACGGCAGTTATTGGCCAAGGATTCGAAGGCCTGAATTTACCTTCAACAATGCAAGTGTTCTGAAAGACTTTGGGCATCTTGTTCCTCCATCCCCAGCTGTCTGTCGGTCCAGTGGTGTGGTAATCAGGGCCGATAACGGTGCTACCAGTGGCAACGTCTTTCCCGTACATCGTACGGTTGAACACCCTAAAGACAGTCTCTGGTGCGTATGCTGACAATGAATGGCCAGAATCAAACACTCTGGTGAATGAGAGTTGGCCGTATTGCTTGACGACTCCTCCGTGGGTATCTTTGCTGAGACCTTGCAGTTCTTGATATCCTGCAGCATTGAAGCCTTTCTGGTTCTCCCATTTGGCGGCCTTGGCAGTGGCTTCGGCGCCAGTCCAAGGACATCGATAATCGCGGTCCCCGTACAGGAAGGCCATCTTAACACCATTCTGCAGCAAATATTCAAGATTGGGCATGCCTGCTTGGCGGAAGGCGTCTCCCGTCCCGTTTTGAGGGGCATTGAAGTTGAAACCAAAGATTGTTGTTACGACTTGAGAGTCCCACGTCCAGTTCAGAGGGAGACCTAGATCTGACTGTACGTGAAGGGTATTCAGGAACTCGCCCACCGGGAAATCGTAGGGGCAAGCATCAGGCGCCTCGATTGCTACGTCAAAAGCAGATACCTAGGAAAGTGTGAGCATCCGGGGGGCAATTCGTTAGGTCTGAGGATGATGTGACGTACACTGTGATTTTGCTCCACAGGCTGCCCGATAACGTACTGGAAACAGTAAAGAAAAGCGTCTTCGCAGATCTCGTTGACTGTGTCATTGTTGCCCTTAAATTCCGGATCTCCCGTCAGGCCTTCTGCACGGCAATTTTTCATCAGATCTAGACATCCGCCAGGCTTGGTAATGTTGTGTGTGATTTCTTGGTATGTTTGGTTGCCATAGAAGGGCGCACTATAAGTGTTGTTGTAGGCGAAGTCGGGAAAGCCTTGAATGGCGTATTCGAAATCCATACAGCCATTCGTGATCCCGATGGCATCGACTGTAAGGTTCTTCTTCATCAGAGGATGCGAGTGCGTGAGGTTCTTGGCGTGCTTGATAAAGGAGGCCGAGGTCTCGGGGATCCAGAATCCGCCGTAAGAGTTGCCCCAGAAGGAGATCTTGTTCGAGGATGTCCTATATTCTGGGAATGAGGAGATCCAGTGCTCGTAAAAATGCCACAAGACTTTCCCGGCCATGACAGTTGTGTTTGCCGAGGTGTATGGGCCCTGGTCCGCGAAGGTTCCGAGTTGTGTGGTAGAATTCAGATCGGGCAAGTCGTCGGGATTGATATCCAAGGGCGTGATCCATTCGCTTGCGAGGTCATATGTGCCATTCACCAGGTAGCTGTATGAGAGACCCGCTTTAGTTGGTTGATCTATGTAGAGCACGTTGGCATTGTTGTTGAAAGACCACGGATTCTCGATTGTCTCGGTGCCGTTGAAGTTAACATAGCAGGGCCCGCTTTCGCTCGCGAGCGCCGCATAGGATGAGGCCTCCCCGGGTCCGCCGGCCAGATATATCACAAGCGGAGCTGTACCAGGGTCGTGTCGTGCTTCGAAATACATGAAATAAGTGTGGATGTCGTAGCCTCCTGTGTCGTTCAGTACACTTCCAGGAAGATTGACATAGCCACTGTAGGATTTAACGCCAGGATTTGTTTCACATATTTGCGCCTACATGGAGTTAGGCACATATTTCTGCAAAGGAGAGTATTTCACTCACTTGCTTCCAGGTGATGTTGACTTGTTTATTGACCTTGGAGACAGTAGTCGTTAATCCGGATGGTTGAGGTGGAAACTGTGCAAGTGCAAGGGGAGCCAGGGCCATCATGCCCAGCGCCAAATTGTATGTCCTCATGCTGATTTGGTGATGGTGTTAGAAGAGCTTCGGCCCGAGATGAAGAACTGCTATCATAAACAGAAGAAGTGTTGTTGATATCTTCTTGAGAACGAAGCAGATCTTGGAGGCCTCAATGACTCGGGCATTAATAAAAGTGGTCGTAGTCTAAGGTTGTGAGAGGCTAGGGAGGTAGATAGGTTTTTGTAGCTTGCAGGATCCGCTATTCTGGGATGTATCACGGACATACCGGCAAATTATATGCCCAGTTGGCCCCAGCAATTTATTTTGCTTCACATCAGGGAAATCACGGCCTTAGGGAATGTATCCCCACATGAAAGCGTCCCCTGTTAGTCATCAGCCACGTTCACAGCCCCTAGGAAATTGTTAGATATAATTTACATCCAAATGGGTTAGCGGGTACGAGGACACCAGGATTGGGGACCTCCGTCGATCATCGGATACCTACTTACAAGGCTAGCCAAAAACTCCCATCTAGACTAACACCAGTGACTAATCTTCGCTAGTATACTCTTCGCCCCCACAAGGTGCACAAAATTGGGGCTACGACATGAGGCATTGTAAACGTATGCCTGGTTGGCGAAGCAAGCGAGCCTCGCGGTAGGCAAAGATGTAGAGCCAGAACAGCTGCGTCCCGCCCACTGCAAACATGGAGGATCCTTTAGTGGTTAACGAAGCCTGAATCTGATCCATTGGCGACAATGATCCTTCAGCTCAGTTGCTGACAACTTGACCACGTGTAAGGTGTCTTCGTCAGATAAGGTTTCTGAGGAACTCGAATCTGATGACATAGTTGAGCAAAGAGAGAAGGGTCAGACGAGAGTTCAGCTTGCGGGATGGGGTGCTTTGTTCGCACTCGAACGTCTATTCATTGTGAAAGCGGCTATTGTACATCATTGTACATAGATTACTCGAGAACGAAAAACCTATTTCCCAAGCTTCTCTTAGCCGTCAGGAAACCGGAGAGATCTCGTGCCCCTCTGGTACTGCCTAAATTCCCATATAACCTTGAACTCTAGTGATAAGTCAGGCAGCCTTTTCGGGTCCCCTTTATTCCCTCGAGCTTAATTTAGCTCCCATGTACTATAGCAGTAGTGAAGCGATTTCAAAAAAACGCTCTCTCATTACTGTCCTTGATTGCATTTATTTAGACCCTTGGACTGCTTAAAATCCTCTTCCTGCTTTGCGATCTATACTCGTTGCTAGTATACACTGCTCTGTACAGGTTTCGTCGCCCATTATTCTCAGTCTATCCCGCTGTTTGCACCCGAACAATAGGCTCTTTCGGAACCAAGTTCTCTTCAACTTCCTGATCTCTCCGCGTTGCAAGGAATCTCCGTAGTGATTGCCTATAGCTGCTAATTTCCCGATGGCTTGCCACCCCCTCCCGAGACTATCTATCCATTCACCGGTTTGACCAGAGTCGTCGTTGCAGGGACGACTTGCTGAGCATTTGAGTTCTTAGTCTTTGAACAGGTCCCATAGCTTCCTCATCCAAGTTCGAGCGTCACGCTCCTTGGCCGATGGAGCAACCCACTCCCTCCGATCAGAGAAATCGACTTCATGCAAGCGCACCCTTGAAGAAGAGGTCAGCCAGCACCCATCATCCGAGCTAGGGAAGAACGCTGGACGAGATGGTGAAGGCGAAGAAACTCACCAGTGCGTCTTCTTGTAGAACTTGAACCCGAAAAAGAGGATGAAAAACGTCGGGATTGTGATATAGCAGGCAATAAAAGATCTCCAGTTGAACGGGTGTTTGAACACGGTGTAGCCCTGGATGAACAGCAGGAAGACGTTGAACGCAAAGTTCAGGCGATACAGCCAGATACTTTCGAAGGCTCTGTAGGGGAACGTTCGGACATCGATGCCCTGTTTCTTTACCGCCGCTCGGACCTGTAGGTGGGTGAAGATGATGGCCGCCCAGGCAATGTACGCTGCCGTGCCGCCCACGCTGTTCATGTAGGCGAAGACTCGTCCAGCGGACAGCTTGCGGTTCATAAGGCGGAGGAAACCCCACAGATTGGAGGTCAGGATGGCTACCCACGGAACTATTGTCGAGGTCAGCGTTCACGTCGAATATGGTTGAGGCGAGCTGAAGGGGTGGTGAGACAACGAGAGATGTGGTCTTTCTTACCTCCGCGCGACGTCGTCTTTGCAAAGAACTTGGGAGCTCGGCCTGACAACGCCAGGGAATAGACGGTTCGCGACTGCACATGACGACGCCGTTGGCCGCTGACACAAAAGCCACCGTTATCAACGCATGGACAAAATGACCGGCAGTTTTCCAGCCTGCGTCGACGAAGCCTATGGTAAACGGTGACGAAGCCACCACCGAGTCTGCGTTGAGGAGGTCTGGCGAGTTCGATGGGCAGATCAGGCCTTGGAAAAATGGCATGCCAACGTAGACGACGAGGATGCGGTAGACAACGGAATTGATGGCCTGCGCAGGAAGTGAGTGGCTGGGAAGATTGTCAAGGTGGAAGGCAATCGACCTACCCTTGGAGCGTCGTTCTTGGGATTCCGAGACTCTCCTCCAGCTAGGGAAATGATCTCAGTGCCCACATAGTACGCAGCGGCGAGGACAAAGACCTGTCCGAATCCATCGACCCCGTGGATGATGGGGCCTGTTTGAGGGTTGGATTGGCATCCTGTAGTCCAAACTGAAGAAATCAAACAAAATACGCACCCGTCGGTTTCCTCCAATACCTGAACCCGACATAGTCGCCGCCGAATCCACCAACGTTGGCCACGATGGAGAGGATAATCAACGATAGGAACTTGAACATGCCAAAGTAATACTCGAGTTCTCCGTAGACGTTGACGCCCAGGAGGGTCACAACAGAGAAGGCGGCCCAGAAGAGGAACGCCCAGGCGTATGAGGGGAACGTTTCCTCAGACACCCAGTAGCGGAGGATCAGGATGGCCGAGTTCCAGTCTTTTCATTGTCGCGAGACACGAAGTCAGATCTCTCCGCCACGATTTTCCCCAATGGAAAAGGGGCGTCCCGGGCTGTGATGGACTCACCTGCAGCGAGGAAGACACTCCACATCAAATAATGCAACCAAGACATGGCGAAGCTTAGGGCCGGATCCACGAATCGTCCAGCATGCTGTCGTATCACAGCTAGTTGCATGTACGGGACGTCTGACGGGACCGCCATTCGAGAGAGAGTGTTTATTGCGTACCTCGACAAAGCCTCCGTGGATGGGGAATAAAGTGGTTAGCTCGCCAACGCTCTGCATTAAAATCCAGACCGAGACGCCTAAGGAGATCATACGGTCAGTTGAATGTCCCCACTATGGCCGACATATCCAGGTTAAGGAGACCGTGAAAACACCTGGAATGATCTCCGGTGGAGAATGGCTGCATACCGACGATGGCGAACCCCAGCAGTGCGCCCGGCGTGCCCGACAGGAACAGCGCATAGCCCAAGCCATAAAATGTGCCCGGTCCGATGATGCTGCCGAGTGCGATGATGACAAAATGCCGACCCTTCAACACTCTTCTCAGTCCGTCGTCAAGGATGTCGCCAGACACGTCGCGCACGGGGGCGGGGGTATGGGAGTCGACAAGGACATCGTCACCTTTTGGTTCGTACGCCGACACGATGCCCTTTTCCGGGCCCGCCACGCTGGTGGCGGGTCCATGAAAGGCGTCGTCGGAAGAGTCACCGCCCCAGGAAGAAATTGACATTCTGACGGGTTTGTTTCTTGTCCACCGTGTATGGGAGCTCTTCTTCGTGGTCGGCTTCTTCTTTTCCGCGAGCGCGTAATGAGACCAACAAGTCGTATCTTCTGAGTGTGGACCAACAGGGAACGGGGAGGCACCGCTCAGACGTGGTGTATATATGCAAATATATAGTGTGCATACCGGCGGTCTCGCGTGGCGATTTTTTCTCGGTACCGGCCAACAGGATCGTCAACATTCGGGACCACTATTCGTCCTGGTTCTTCTTACCCTGCCACAGATCCCATGCGGACGGCGAGCTTAACTAGACCGTGAGTGTCCAGGCCAGACCCTATGGAGTGTGACACACATACCGCATTCTCTGTGATTGTGATTCAGGTCGACTCTCGCAAGATCGCGGCGGCCACCTTTTCCACCTCTTACCGCCCTATGTGTAGAGGGATTTCCAGTGATAGTCTTTGAGAAGCTTTCCATCCATAGATTAGTCTTACTACAGACTCGCGCAATCAGCGCTTATATTACGTACGATCGCGCGATTGTCCATGTATGGTTCCGGCGGATCAGTGTCTGCACCTTATATGGTGGGAAAACATGTGGTTAAAGAAAGATCAAGGACGAAGTTATGACAAACCTATTTCATCAGATAGAACGGAAAAGAGTAGTCCTTTACGACCTAGGGAGACAAGAGGAGCCAAGATACACAGACATCAGTGCAGCTTCGTCGTTCTTTGGGTCACGGCTTGGATTAAGGACATTTTGAAGCTTCTCGCGCGATGCCGTCGGGCGTGAAAAAGACTTCGACCGTCTAGTCAAAATCAATGGAGGGGTCTTCTGTGCGAAGGCGCTTCAAAAAGTTTCCGTTTAAATGCCGATCCTCCATTGGGCTGTTGAGTATAGTATGTACCCCGGCCCATGTTGTCTAGGTGGACCAACATGTTTCGAATTCGGTGCCGCAATACCGGATGTGTCATCTTTGCCGTATATCACGACATCGAGCCTCGGTGGACTTCTCCGAAGCCGAGCCTTGTATACGAGTACGGAGTACTGTACATATTTGTCGTAGTAGAGTTCTTGTTCTCCCTTCTCCGAGAGTCTGCCGCAATTTGGACTGACTATAGCGACAGCGGTGGCAGAGTCATCACCTTTGATTTTGACGTGATTGAACGCTTTGCACCCGTAGAGTTACTGAGGAAGTCGGAGGATCCATCATTCCATTAAAAGGGGGTCCGACGTTGACCGGACCACGCGAAACTGACCCACGGCTGTGTCCACCTGCCACGAGGCTCACGTCTATATTTTGACCAAGAGCTTCTCATGCGCTTGAAGAAGAGAGAACCTGCTAGCAGTACGAGTAGGCAGGGACACGGGGGTTTCGGGAAGTGCAACGGGAAACGTGTTTTCTTTGTCCATCTCGACCACCGAGCGCACAGCTGGGGGGAACTTTCCATCAGAATGCCGGGCGACCATGACAGGCAGCAGGATCAGCAGGCGCTCACCACCGTGCAGCGCGACGAGGACGTGAGCAAATTCGCACAGGTCATTGCCGCGGCCTTTGCCAACGACACACTAAACCGATATATGTTCCTCGGCCGCGAGTCCCGACCGGACCACCCAAAGCTGTCGCAAACTGACCTTCGGGTCGCGTTCTGGCAACCTTTGATGGCAAGTCGGTTCGAAAAGGGAGGAATTCTCGTGCAGACGTACGATTGGGCCGGAGTCGCTCTGTGGTGGGTCACCGGACTCGTCCTCGTCGTCCCTCTTCCACTCCCTCCGTTCCATTGGGGGAATGTATGTCGCCTGCCGGCGGCCCCTCCGGCCAGGAGACAGGCCAAACCCCACGTGGATGAGTGATGGTTGTTTGCCCACTTACTGACAGAATGCATGGTCGCAAATGAGCAGGCTCCCTCCTGGTGTCGGAAAGCCCAATCCCAGCGATTCTGCTGCCGGCGGCAGTGGTGAAAACCCGGTCCCTGAGGGTGCTGCCGAGTATCGAGAGAAATTCGACGCCCTGAAGCAGAAATACTTGGGCGGCCGGCCGCACTGGTATCTCAACCTGATTGGCAGATTACCCTCAAGGCGAGAAGAAAAAGGTGCGTCAATCGGCGTGCACATGGCATGATTCTCTGCGCAACTCCTCCTTCTTCCTCTCTCCTCCCCCTTCCATTTGTCGACTTTCCGCCTGGTGGACATCCCACCTCCACGGCGGTTCTGCAGACCCTTTTGCCAGCGAACTTTGTCTCTAGCTTGGATCCTTACGACCTTTCCCTTAGGCGCCATCCGTGGTCTGATCGAACCCTTCCTCCAGAAGGCATGCGAAGAAAACCTGCCCGTCTGGCTGGAGGCGACCAACCGGCACGCCAAAGAGGTCTACAGCTACTTCGGGTTCAGGGTGGCGGAGGAAGTGAGAATCGGAAAGGGAGTGGTTAACGCCGAGGGTTGGGTTCAAGCCGATGGAGAAGGTGTCCTGCTCTGGGGAATGGTTGCCGGCCTTTAGTTTGAGGCTCTGGGCCATGATCAACGCGAGGGAGAACACGGGTTCGTCGTTGATCCTCCGCCCTTTTTGTCTCCCATAGTTCTGTTGTGAGATAGCCCACGAAAACTGAGAAATCGTCGCTTCCCACGGGGGGAGCATGACAAGATTCATCCCGCGTCCGCACGTGAGCTTGGGGATTGGAATAGACATGATATGGGGACAAGTGAAACATCTTCTGGTGATAGGCAAAACGTACGGGTTTGGGAACAGAGATTTGAAAGCTGGCCATCATCATGCTACATAACACTACACCAAGCCTCTAACCTTCAAGAGCCTGCACAACATGAGCCCACTCTTGCGGCACGTATGCGCCGGGTAGCTGTCCGTCGAAGAGAGTGGCCAACACTACACGGTCGGTCTGCTCCCCCTCCCAGGGCTGTCGACCGTGCTGGGAGATGATGTTGTCGTAGACCAGGATATCGCCGCGCTGCCATTTGTGCAGGACGCGGATCTCGTCGGTGATCTTGGCCAGGTGAGCCAGGTACTTTTCCGGGATGGGCGTGCCGTCACCGTAAAGCTGCTGGGTGACGTTCTTGCGCCCGTGGTCGGGGTTGGCGATGACACCCTTGTAGTAAGCCGCCAGGCCCGTGAAGAGCGTGGGCAGGTTGGTCTCCGGCTGGGTGCGGATGGCCGGCAGCCGGTGCGTCAGGATGAGGCTGCCATCGTCGGCCCACTCCCAGGTGGTATACTTGCCGCGACCGTAGCGGGCGATCTGGCCCTCAATCTCGGCCTTCCTGGTGGCCTCGTCGTCACCGTCTTGGATCTCCTTGCCGAACGCCTGCTTGAGCGTGGATCCGCCAGCGTACTGTACTTCGGGCTTGTATGTGACCCTGCTGAGGATGCCCTTGTCGGCAAGCTCGCTGATGAACTCCGGGATCTCTTGTTGTGCGCGGTGGAAGAGTTCCACCGACGACGAGATGGGCGACTCGCCGCCTTTCTCTGGGGCTCGGTGGCCATTGTGGATGAAGACCGGGACGTGGTGAGCGGGAGGAGCAGGAGAGCGAAGACAGGAGGGCGTCTCGCGGATTAACTGATACAGGACGAGGGACAAAAAAGGTGCGGGCCAGGACGTGATAATGCAGGGCTTGAATAAATGTTCTCTGGACTGGCACGAGAGCGATGGTGCATCCAAAAGCCGCGGCGTCAAAACCCAAGTGGATTCCCTCGTATCCCCCCTACGACAAACGTTCCTCGGCCCTGTGGTGTCATCCCATCCCAAGATCACGAACCTCGAACCAAGCCCAGGACAACCCTCTCTTCGTATACCACATCCGGGAAGGTGCGGGTGGAGCAGAACAGTGATTCAATGGCATTCCCTGAGCATTGTGTTACTTCTCCTGGCATTTGCGTGCTTTTCAGAATAAGAGACATTGTACTGCCACGCCACAAGGGTGGGCAATTCTCGATCTCCGAGCTCTCTGAACTGCCTTCATCATATTTATGTGGAGCCTCTGGCCGTGGCCATAACCAATCTGTCTCGTTGAAGAGAAGAGCCAGTCCTCGCTACTCTTCAACTGTCTTAGCATTTCGCACACGACATACCATTACTTCAGTCGCGGGAAAGCACGTCCTTATTTTGCTGAAATACAAACCCTGGCTCTCCGTCTTCACTGAAGATGTTAACAACTCCCGCCGATAACAAGGATGCAGTCATCTCTGGAGAGGAGCTCGCAGACGATGTGCCTCGTGGCCCAGTGACCGCAGACGTCCTCCCCCTACCCCCCAATCGATACCCGCCAGAGTCCACGGATGCCCTTCCTCTCTCGCCTAGTCGATACCCTTTCTTTCGGACCACGCTTTTCCAGATCCTGGTCGTGGGTCTATGCGCCTTCTGTGCTCCGGGGATCTGGAGCGCCATGAACGGCCTCGGCGTCGGTGGCTCGTAAAGTCCCGACCTCGTCAACGCCGCCAATGCGTCGCTGTATGGCCTGATGACCTTGACGTGCTTTGCAGGGCCGTGGCTGACCAACCTGATCGGCTTCCGGTGGACACTGGCCGTCGGCCCGTTGGGGTATCCCGTGTACGCGGCGGGTCTCTACCACAACAACCGCACCGGGACGGAATGGCTGGTGTACGTCGGCTCCATTCTCTGTGGAATCAGCGCCGGCTTCTTCTGGAGTGTCGAGGGAGCCATCTCGACCGGATACCCCGAGCACCACAAGCGCGGGCGCTATCTCGCGACATGGTGTACCTTTCGCAACTTTGGCAACATCATCGGCGGTGCCATCTCACTGGCCATTAACCACAAGATCAGTCACCGGGGGAAAGTCAGCGCCGGCACCTATCGAGCCTTCATTGCCCTCCAGTGCCTGGGCTTCTTCGCGGGCCTCCTGCTGTCGAATCCGGAGAAAGTACGGCGGGATGATGGCACGCGCATTCAAGCTCCCCGAGGCATCCACTGGCGCACCGAACTCGCTCAGATGTGGCGACTGGCTCGCAGCAAGTCCATCCTGCTGTTGACGCCCTTGTTCTGGTACTTTGGCTGGGTCCAAGCGTACCCGGGGACATATGTTGCCGCGTACTTTACCGTTCGATCTCGCGCGCTAGCCAGCTTTTTGTCGGTCGTGGTTGGCACCTTTGCAACCTGGTTGGCCGGTTGCTTGGTGGATATTCCGTGGACAAAGAACCGAACGACACGGGCGGTGACGACCTATGTCCTCATCGCCTTGATCAACAGTGCGACGCGGATTTGGGCGGTCATCATTCAGAACGAGTACCGCCACACCAACCCAACCCTGGACTGGGCCGACCAGAGCACCTTCGGCCGCGGGTTCGGCTTGTTCTTGTTCGAGCGCATCTGTCTGGGAATGGTCGAGAATTACATCTACTGGTGTATCAGCAATCTCTCGGATTCCCCGGGGGATCAAATTCGGTACGGCTCTCTCCTTCGAGGCATTGAGACTGCGGCCGTGGCTGTGGGCTTTGGAGTGCAGGCAGTGCCGACTGCGCTCATCGCCACGGCCAGCATCAATTTCGGCCCGTGGTTCTTCGTCCTCCCCTTTAGCTATTACGCAACCCTGCAAGTGGTGCGTAAGTTTGCCCAGCTCGAGAAAGAGTCAGCAGCGGCGGCGGCGGCGGCATCAGCAGATGATACACAGGACGCTGGGAGTGAGCAGCCAAACTCACACGCGACAAAGGCCTGAACGTGCTCTATCCGTCTTCCCGTCGTCCCCGAGCCTGCTTGTCCCAGGTTGGAGGTGCTAAAAGAAAGAAGTCATAGTGTAGCGGGGCACTACGTGCATGGATTATGTAAACAATGTGTTGATGCCTTGGAGCATTACGTACAAAATCATTGCTATAACTGTCTAGCATAAGGCATTTCCTTGTTTGACGTTTCCGGCGCAAGTCTCGATTGCCGCGTACACCTGAGCCGCAGGCAAATAGGTCCCTCTTTTGAGTAGTGACCTAGTGTTGCGCCTAGATGTACGCATATCCATCTGCCGTTGACAGTCCCTGGTCCTGCTGAGTCGAGGTTTCCTATATTGTGGATCCCAGGACGGAGCTTCGGTACCATATGGAAGTAACAGAGACCAAATCCTCGAGGTGTCCGTATGGAAAATCGGGAGAATCACGATAGTTTGTGGTACGGTACTGGCATATGACCGTCAACCTAAGAACGTCGCAGAAAAACGGTGACGTTGCGTAAGCCGCCCGAGATGCAAATACTCAGACGTCGAAACGGTAAGTTGACTATTCAGGCTGGCCCCACAGCCACCACAGCTAGGAGCCCAAGTTAGTCGTGGCGTTAATTGAAAGGGGTCTGACGGCATAGTTCAACACGAATTTGAGAAATTGGGTTGGACTGGGGACGAGTTCGGTGATTGGATCATTGGCCTAGCTGTGGCGGGCGACGAATAGAGAAGGGAGCGGTGTAGAATCGGCTGCCAGAATGGTCTCACTAAGCGGCAGACGCCCGTTCCCAGGACCAGCAGAAATGTTGAACTGTGAGACAATATGTGGCGACACTTTCAGCGGGGCATTGGGTATTCAGCTAGACAAGGATTTCGTCTATGAGCTGAACACGGAGACACCGAAAGATGGTGACAATCTTTGTCTATATACACATGCGAGGCAGGACCTCAATTTGATAGAGAACAGAGCACTCCTTCAACTCAAGTTGTACCACAAGTTTGACGACACCTCTTTGCCGCCCCGTCATCGGATCCAATCCGTGGACCATATAGCCGGGGGCCCACCCTACTCGATAAAGGTCGACATCCTCGATATCGACGTGATCCACGCATCGGATCCAGTCTGTGGACCACCCAGAGGAGCTCTAATGACCACACTCGAGATGGTTCGTAGACTAGATTCGATGAAAGACCACCGCCATCGGATCCAATCCGTGGACCATGTGGCCAGGTAGGGCCGGGGATAGTGTATGGCGCTGGCCTTGATATCTAGATGGTCCTTGGATCGGATCCCATGATATACTGTCGAACAGTATATGGCAACATGTTCAGCTGTGTTGAACAGTTGAACGGTAGCAAATGTCCCTTTACTGGGAGAAGGGGTTACCACTCCTATGTCGGGTATAGGGGTAGGAATAGGAGAAGAAAAGGGGTCAACCAAACGTGTATAAATATCAGCAACCTGGCAGGACCAGTTGCTAGATATTCGCCGTTACTAGTTTGTATAATTTCATGGCCGATTATTTTCCACGGTACAGGCGTTTTCAATTGCGGCTTCACCTTTACATACACTCAAAATAAATTGGGGCCCCATATTTCTGAGCCACCCTGGCCAGAACTAGACTATAGAAGGTTAAGCGTAACTTCTGTTTAAAGCCAATCGGCAAGAACCATGTTCTGATTACATGTGCGACCTTACAGTACATGACAATCACCATTACCTCCCAAAAGAGTGGTAGCGCGGTAGACTAAAAGCGGCATTAGTCCGTCCCAACTTACCTAGAACGCACAGCCCGAAGCCACTATAGAAGAAGGTGGACGCATTCAGGCGCATCTTTTCCCACACTGAACCACGAACCTCGCTAGCGCCAGCTGATCACCATGGTTGACTACGTCTCACTCATCGTATCTATCATCTCTCTCATCTCGGCGGCCTTAGCAGCTAGTATCGCAAGCTGGGGACACATCTACTCCTCCAAACGCGCACGCGTTGCCGATGCCCGCAAAATCGTCGATAAGTATCGCAACCCGTTGTTCATTGCCGCCCTAGACCTTCAATGCAACTTATACCACCTCGCTCAAAACGAAATTACACCCGAACCGGCGCAGTCGATGTACACTTGCTTTGTAGTCGGACAATACCTTTCCTGGTGGCATATCCTTCGACGTCAAGCGAAGTTTCTATGCTCCTGCACTGATGAGGTCAACGGACTCTTGATCGAAAAGCTATATAAGATCGAGGAAGAGTTTTTTGATGACAATTATGGCAAGCCATTTATACTCTGGAAATATCAGCAGATAGGTATTGGAGAGGAAATGACAGCTGAACGCGATGAAGATAAGGAAGTGTTTTGTAAGGGCTATGCGACCTTTAAAAAATTGTGGGAGGCGGAGGAGGCGGAGGAGGCGGAGGAGGCGGAGGTGAAGCAGGCGAAGGGCTCTTTTCGTCCATGGTTTACGACCATTAAAGATGGCGTTGAGTTGCTTACACCACATTCTAGGAACGACTCTACTGCTCTGAAGCACCACCTTCAACGCTTGCAGCACTTGCTACTTGACTTAATGGCTGTTCTATACATCGAGCAATTGGACGAGAAATCCGGCGTGAAAAGATGTGATAACCCTCCAGACTGCGAATGTACTAAATGTCCTAAATGTCCCCCCTTTCATTCTTTGGGCAGTCAAGAGGGAACGGAGGACAGCTGGTGGAGGCGTGTGATAGGCAGGGCCTGTACTATTGTGCAGGCGCACCGCGGGCGAGGCATTCAGGCGCCACAATGCTAGGTTGGCTGCTACGGCAAAGAATGGCGCCTGTAAAGAGGTATCGAGTTGCGTCCTGGCAGCGCAATGTCGCCTGTCATGGACAAACAGGGCCAGAATAACAGGATTTGGAACGGGGCCAAGCAAGGACTGCTGGCGTGGCTGGCGCAATGGCAGGGCCACATGATCTCGGACCACTTCACTCAGGACCCTAGGGGTGACAGCCTTGTCTTGGCAGACAACATCACAACAACAACCATATCACACCCGACTGCGATTCTCTTCCCCCTCTTTAGCTTAGTCTCTTCGTTCATAGAGCAATCCACAGCTTTGGGAGCATCTCCATTCTTCTCTGTGCCGTGCCGTCAAATCGCCTGGTACTCAGGAATGCTTGTGGAGGTTAGCCTGCTTTACAGTAGGAGAGACCTACAGGGCCTAATCCAGAGTCCTTCTGTATGTAAACCTGGTAATTAGGCTGTCCTGCCTATCCTGAATGTCCTGTCTCTCTACCTGTCGAGTGTCCTGCTACCTGTCACATTGTGACCATGGATCCGTCCTAGCACATAGCTGTTACTATCGTGCGGCACTTAACTCTTGTATTGTTCATGTTCTTTAGGAGGCATGGTCGAGGGAGATTAACGGATTCGGATGATGAGTTTGCGATGGTAATTAGGCTGGTGGTCGCAGTTGAGGCACGACCTAGTGTAAGGGGAGGCAGGAATCATTGGGCTCCGGTGGATCTGACGCTATTGGAAGGGTACAGGTTGAGCCACGGCTGCCGGTTCGGGATGAGCGAAGTAGAAGGATGTTGTAGAATGCGCAGTCAGGCTGAACTTCGAATCTCAACGGTATGCGCGCAAGGGCCGGATGCGGCTGAAACATGCATGGCGGCAACCGACCAAGAGTGAGGTGTTGGCCTCCCATTGTACCGGCACGTGATCGTGGCATGTTGGCCTCGCTGGACTCGCGTTTAAATCAATGTAATTTAGATGGCGCCTGAATGCGTCCACCTTCTTCTATGGTGGCTTCGGGCTGTGCGTTCTGGGTAAGTTGGGACGGACTAATGCCGCTTTTAGTCTACCGCGCTACCACTCTTTTGGGAGGTAATGGTGATTGTCATGTACTGTAAGGTCGCACATGTAATCAGAACATGGTTCTTGCCGATTGGCTTTAAACAGAAGTTACGCTTAACCTTCTATAGTCTAGTTCTGGCCAGGGTGGCTCAGAAATATGGGGCCCCAATTTATTTTGAGTGTATGTAAAGGTGAAGCCGCAATTGAAAACGCCTGTAAGAGCAGCAAGAAGGATCAGCACCCACCATAAACGCATGGTGATGATGCAGATCCAATTCAAAAACGCGGACGTATAACATACAGTACAGCTTGGAGCATTCGGATTCATTTCCAGGAACAGATACTGCTGTCCTTCGAGTCCACAGCTCCAGCATCCATCAGAATCTTCACCACCGTCTCATGGCCACTAGATGATGCCGCCTGCAGCGCATTGCCATACTCTCCTCCTCGAGCATTGACATCCGCTTTGGCATCTAGGAGCATCTTCACCACCCTCTCATGGCCACCAAATGATGCCGCCTGTAGAGCATTGCCATACTCTCCTCCTCGAGCATTAACATCCGCTTCGGCATCTAGGAGCATCTTCACTACCCTCTCATCGCCACGATATGATGCCGCCTGCAGTGCATTGCCGTACTCTCCTCCTTGAGCATTGATATCCGCTCTAGCATCCAGGAGCATCTTCACTACCCTCTCATCGCCACGATATGATGCCGCCT